TACTTCACATATAGTACATTAGACGGATGTAAAATGGATGGGTTGATTATATTATTTGGTATGTAATGCTACATAATGTATACTGTAGGCTACATGTACTGCACTGTACCATGTACATGTACAACACCCTTCATACACCCGACTTATGGCTACATGAAGAAGGGAAAATTTCTGTAAACTTCGAAGAGATTATTTTCCTTGCATGTATGTGATCAAATAGGAGTAATTTCAAGATATAATTGACTGGCTGACAATTTGAATTATAAGAGTATCAGCTGATGTTTGTTGAATTTCATTCTCCTTGAATCATAGTAATATTTTATTGTAGAAGGTACAGTACAGTATGTTCCAGCAACAATTGCCCCATGGTCAATTCCTGACTCTACATGTAAATCAATTAACTGTAACCAGGGACTTCCAAGTCCCTGCTTTAACCAATAAAACACAAAACAATGTACCTTTAACCCTAAACCAGGGGCTTTAGTTACCACCTGTCTACAAAGACCACATGTTGTATTTTCCTTGACTGTGGTTTCTCATTGAAACCTGTACATGTACTAAAGGAACCTGTACATAAAGACCACTTTTCATGTTTCACTTGAGCGATCTTTACATACATGTACTGTACAGGTTTCACTGTACAGTGTACATGTACACAGAGTTAACGCCCCTTCAGGCTACAAGCATTTAAGATATGAACAAATCTTAAGTTGAAACCATCCTGAATCCTTACAAAAAGACAAAAAAAAAAATCAATTCTGGTAGATCATTTGGTGTGGTCAACTGAAAATTTCAACTAATACTTTAATAACAATTGACATAATAGTTGTATTACCCAAAATGAAACCTATTTACAATTCAGGTCAGTACAGTTTGCATTTTCCAAAAATAAGGGCATACCAAATTAAGCTCTTCCTCTCTCTCTCTCTCTCTCTCTCTCTCTCCTCTAGAGCTACACATGTTACACATGTATTTCAACGGAAGTTAATACGACCCAGGAGTGTACAATATACAGACATGTCCATGGACACGGGTCATTTCATTAGACTTCATTTCCACTCATTTCACCTGAATTAAATAAGGTCAATACATTGTACATCCATTATGCATGTACAGTGTACTGTACTGTAGGTCTTGGCTGAACTCAAATATTATTGGCTTGCATAAGTTCCTCAAAATCTTTGTACAGAGGAAAAAGCATATTATTGCAATGATTGATTAAAAATTCCTATGACAGTGGGGAATGTAATAATACTCAGCTAATAAGCTAATACTTAGGAATAACACTCATCAGCATTAAAGGTAAAGACCAGTATTGGAAACGCCCCAATTTCAAAAAATGAAATGGAAGCTCTCATTACCAATCATGTGAAAGAATGTGTTTTAACTAATACATGATGATACAAAATTTGCCAGGAAACCGCCTACTAATTCATATATTTGGTAAATTTGTTTCTCTCATGGTCTGTGAGAGATATAGGGTAGTCCCATATACATCTTTCTGTGTATAGTGCTTGTAACTTTACAAAGAATGGGCCAAATTTCTTATCATTTTGATGATTCCAGAACCTTGCAGATGCTAGGTGCTAGACGATCAACCTTTTCTGATCGATTCCACAACGTTTCTTTCACAATGCAATCGCATGACCATAACTGGTCTTTACCTTTAAATACAGCTCTTGACAATAACCCTAATATATATAATTTTTTTCTTTCTTTCTTTTTCTCACGTGAGGTTAACATAATTTCAATACATACTGTATGTTTACATTAATTACACAATAATTGAATGAAAAATAACATTGGCTAAAATTAAAGTATATTCAACAATTCTTCCAGCTTAGTATTATTTGCTTTGCTAACACATTCATACCTTAAATGTAGCAACGACTTGAACTCAAAGTAATATAATTATAGTTTTATTTATTACCCCCAAGCATTGCCATTGAATACACCTGGGCCCCGTTTTACAAAGAGTTGTGATTGATCCAAATCACTCACAAGACCCCTTATCAATCGCAAGTTTGTATTGCAGTCTCCTATTGTGTATGTGTGTAGTTGCAATTGATCGATATTAATTGCAAACAAGTTGCAATTAATATCGACTCTTTGTGAGACGTGGCCCTGGGTTGAGAGGGGCAAATCTGGGTGAAATACCTTATCCAAGGATGTAGGAATCAACTACTAAAGAATCATATCCATGGCATCTCATGAGAGCCAACAGCCTTTACTCAACAATAATAACAGTAATAATAATCTGGATATACTAGCGCTTAGTTAAATATGAAATAATGTACCATCTCTAATTCTCTATGCCCTTTACAGACATTATTACCTTTACAGACATTATTACCTCTTTCATCTTATTCATTTGTACACATACACCTGTACATGTAATATGCACCATCTCCACTCCCTGGGGAGTACCGTAAATCTCTGTGTATAAGGCGCACCTGTGTATAAGGCGCACCTGTGTATATGTTGTTTTGTTGCCGAAAACCCACGCGGGGAAGGACCTTCATTTAACATCGAGGTGCAGTTAAAGGCTCTGATTTGTGCTTGTAAACTTGTCACAAATAATAGTAACAATGTTGTTTTTAGAAGAATGTGTATGATCATTAATGTAAATTAAAAACAATAGAGTACCTAGGTCCTAGGATAGAACCTTGTGGTACACCATTTGTTATATAAAAAAAATTGAGGAATTATTACTATAAACTACATATTGAGATCTATTAGAAAGATTACTTTTAAACCAAGAGGACAGAAAAGTTTTAGTGTTGTTGTAGTTTCCGAGTGGTGAGTCAACACACCGATTACTGAGCTGGAGACATTGCCAGGCATAGCGCCATAAATCGAAACCTAAAAATTTTTATAAAAAATTAAAAAAAAAAAAATCTGTACCTGTGTATAAGGCTCACCCCCGACTTTCAATTTTTTTCGGCGGCAAAAAAGTGCATCTTATACACGGAGATTTACGGTACTTCTACCATATGCTCACCATAAGGGCATACATGTACATGTATATGTATCGTAATTATCAACACAAGACTGTTGTCATCCTATCAGGTCCCTACAGTATATATCTCTCCTGGGTATGGAGTGGCAAATGTAGATAAATGCCTTGCTAAATTTTACATTCATGCCCTGTTGGGGATCGAACCCGCGATCTTTGCATTTCAAGTCAAGTGCTCAAACCACTCAACTATGACACTTCTAAATACTTCTTAGTTCTTAGTACAGTGATCCTACCATACACAGTCTAACCTGTCTATTATTGCCCCAGAGAAGAAACAGGAAGGGGGGGGGTTAGGAGGGGGTGGGGGTGACCACTGGAGAGCGTTGCCCTTTCTAGACATGTTTGTCCAATCAATATTTTTCTTCCTAGAGAAACAGTACACAGGTAGCATTACTTTGTGAAGGGCACAATTAAAGGTTAGCTGAAGGGAGTCGGCAACTTGGCATGCAAGTATTACTCTGTGACAAAGCATTTCTTTTGGGTCAGCTCAGCTTTCATCAAAATAGCTGCCCAGGTTCAAGTAATTCATGCGTAAACGGGAATTTCAAAGAACTAGTCAAGGATGAACCAGGCTTACAATGGATGGCAAAAATATGAAAAATTGAATGATAAATGCCATTAAAATATTTATCAAACAACAAAGTCTGTCTGTTGGACTTCAGAATTATGGCTTTGCGTGTGGAAAGACTTACGTTTCCAGCGAATTAGAATGTTACTTACATGGACTCATTATTTTTGTGTACTTCATGTTTTATTGATCCAAACATGTAAGTTATGGTGGAACATATAATAAAATATAAATGCGTAATTTACACACATCTAACACGTACATAAAATATAAATGATGTGATTGTGAATGTAGACAACAACAAAATGACTAGTTGTCGATTACTGATACACTGTAGTAAGAGATTACATAAGAGATTACAAGGCTCATCAGAAAGAAAAAGTACCGTAATACAAAGAGCAGACACCTGGCCAAATGAAAGAAGAAAAAAGGTGGCACACAACCTCTCATTCCTACTGATCCTTAATGATATTCAAAATGCTTGGAATCATGGACATACATGTACTGTACAGTATGTTACAATGATGCCATGGTGTCCATAGTTTGTCCATGGATATACATGTACATGTACAAAAATCAATGGACTATACATTGTAGTCTGTAGATCAAGTTGTCAGTTTCCTGTCAATGACTGCCAACCTAAAACAGCTGTTCAACCTAATATTGCTTAGCTTTACCTTAAGAACAGTTTAGCCCACTTTGTTTTCATACTCAGTTAATTGGTTTTACCAAAGAGGTCCAGCACCAAAGATAGTACGGGATTATTTGGCCCCAGAAACAAAGCAGGATTAGCACCTCAATTAAACAGTGAGATCAGGGACCCGTTTCACAAAGCCTTTTTTCAATGACAAATGACAAAAATCAGTGAAAAATCTGTTGACAACCAATCAGAAGCAAGGATTTCAGTAGTTTAAATAACAAAAACTGTCATTTGTTACTGATGACAAGTTATGTGAAACGCCCTCCAGAAGTCATCATAGTTTGAGGCTGCGGAAAAGTAGTACTAACCAGTGAAGGCGGAAAGGACATGACCAATCAGAGATAAGCATGAATATGAGTATCGTACCAATAGTCATTTCACCACGTGCCTTTTGTAATAGTTAAGAAAAGCATATACGTACAGTGAACTCATTTTAAATCGGAGTGATGTGAAGTTCACTTCATTATTATATATCATGTTATTTTGTTCTGCTTTCATTTCCGTCATGTGTGGGCAAGGCTTAAAGCCACAACACTGTACTATTTGTAGCTACTTGCTCCCTCTATATTGAAAACAATGACTAATGGGTGCCTGTTGGTCCCCCAGAGCTGAGTCCATGAGATAGCCACCTGTCAGTGACCTTGCTGGGTGGTCTAATCCCTCCTATAAACTAACTAGTACAGATAAGCTTTAAAACAAATGATCAGACTTACTCTGCCTAAAATACTCTGGGATCCGGATCTTCTCCTCCTCCTCTTGACAGCTTCCAGGAGCCTCCTGGCCGCTGGTCTCCCCATCCCGATCTTCTCCAGGTCCTCCGTCCTCACGTACTGGAAATGGTCCAGACGCGACACCTGGAGATCGTCGTGGATCTTCGTCAGGAACTTCTGGAGCTGAGTCTCCTCCAGGAGCTCTTCCAACCACTGGGCTCCCTCCCCCTCCACCATGGTGGAACACTGATGTCCGCAGTTCTTAGTATGATGAATCAGTTGCCATGGATCTCAATCTGCATACAGGATGAGACGTAATACAACATTTGGTATCGGGGTGCTTCTAGGACTTAGTGATGCTTTTACTTTTAACATCAATGTGACTTACCCACGTCATCAACGATCCACACAGAGTGAGAGAGAGAGAGTGAGTGAGAGAGAGAGGAAAAGAGAGAGAGAGAGAGAGAAGAGAAAGACAGAGAGAGAGAGAAGAGAAAGAGAAAGTGCCAGAGAAAGAGCCAGAGAGAGAGAGAGAGAGAGAGAGAAGAGAAACAGAAAGAGAAAGTGCCAGAGAGAGAAAGAGCCAGAGAGAGAGAGAGAGAGAGAGAGAAGAGAAACAGAAAGAGAAAGTGCCAGAGAGAGAAAGAGCCAGAGAGAGAGAGAGAGAGAGAGAGAAAGAAAGAGAAAGGAGAGGGAACAAAAAATAGAAAGGGGGAGGAGATGGACACAGGTATGAGAGCTTCAGTTTATGTTTAGTGATCAATACAATAAAGTAAACAAGGGTTCTTCTTATTGGCTATCGCTGGCCTCCATTCACTCAATGTTATAAGATATTGGTGCGAAGAGGAGGTTTGCGATTTTCTGTTTTAACGGATACCAAAATTATGATATTTCAGTCAAACCCTCTAGATCTAGAGTCTACATGTATTTGTTATGATTTTTCAGCATCCTTAAAAGGTTAAGTCTTAGACCTAGATCTATGTCTTACTTAACTATTTTTTTAAAACATTTGAACAATTCTCATTTCCGTCATAGATCTATTTAAGTTAAAAACTGGAAATTTATTCTGAGATGTTCGTTGATTTTTCTATTTTAATATGTGTGTGCGTGTACGTCAGTTATGTGCGTAACCTGTTTAAAGCATGATATGTCAAAATCTCTGTGGTGTGACATATTCTTACGTACTGACATTGCCATTGAACATAAGTTGTGCTTAAGTTAAGTAGGCCCTCTCTCACTTAAATTGGAAGCCACTCGAGCTGATCGGCCAATGTCAATGAGACTGACTCACTGTACAGCGCTCAATTCGCAAAGTTCTTCCCGAGGTAGTAGGGTGTCTGATCCACACCCGATGTTGTGTGCTAAAATCTTTCCCATAGAGATTGCACACTTCCCTATGTGGTCTACATGCATTGCGCGACCAAGCAAAATTGGTCAATGATTTTATGAAAAATTTGAAATTCAAACCTTTATAACAAATGATCCTGAAGGTGAAACTCAATAAATGTGGTGTCATATGAAAGAGCAGGTTTTCTCCATATTCCCCATAGGGGGCCACCCCCGGAATTCTAAATATATCTTGCTCAAAACAGCGATTCAAACATCGTTTCCATGGTAACTCGGAGATTTACCAATTTCACGAACTGCCCCCCCGAGGGATAAGTTGGGCCAGCTGTAAAGAATATATCCATGCACTTATTTTTTCTCTAGTCCCAAGGGATCATTTGTTACAACAGTTTGAAAATACCCTTGCTCCACGCTTTGCATATCGTGCTGTGCATTAGCTGTGCAGCTTTTGAGCAGAAATTATAACTCTGCGTGAACCACTTTTCTGTCCATTCTGACCAAAATGCTATGAATATTGCACAGTTTTTGAGGGGCTGTATCTTTTGATAGAAACATCGGTGAGTCTTGAAATTTGAAAGGTATTATTCTGATTACATTTTTTACTCCAATATCCAACAAAAATGGTGAAAAACGATCCCAAATTGAAAATTGAAAAATCGTTCAGACACCCTAGAGGTAGACTCCTGCATAATGTCCTCAACTCTGCACCAAATACACCACTGCTCAACACCCAGTACCCTTCCCATCCGACTTGCGCTATTCTCTTGCCATATGATCCATACCTTCCCTCCACTGTCAATGATTCTATTTTAAAGATGACACTTCACTATCAGTCTTTACAAAATTCATGCCTATCGCCTGCACTCCATACCCTCCAACTAAGGATTTTATAACATATTTACAGTGCTCAGCGTAATCTTTGAATGCGATAAACTCGCTGATCTCAGAAAAGCGGAGGGACAACAACAGAGAGAGAGATCATATCATTATCAATATCATTTTTCTTATTATCAACTAGTCTACCCTTTTAACTTTAAGGCTAGACCAAGTTGAGAGTGAATCATCTGTATGTTATTCCCGACTCTGCACTCATGCACTCTGCGACTTTACCACACCACAGCTGCACAGCCGGTATATTGTGTCATTCAATTCACGGACAGAATTCACAAATCCTGAAATGGGAGAGCAAACTGCACTGTCAAGCGAGTTTTGGCCTGCGCCCACGGACGTTCATTGGTAAAAGTTTCACGCACACAGTTAAGATTACGAAACTGAACTGTAGATACATTATAATTAGATTGTACGATAATTAGAAATGATATGATAAAAGAACTTACCCAGACATTGACAAGATAAATCTCCTTTCTGCTTTCAAGATCTGTCGCAAATAACATGAGTTTTTGCTTGCTTTCCTCAGTTCCGGTTCGGTTTTCACAAAGTTCATTCACAAATAACTCTAGCAGGTTAATTTCCTGGAGTATGGTATCCTTAATTAAAAATTTTACTGAAAAAGGGAAAAAGATAGTTGGTAATAATATAAATTTGACTGATTGCCATAACGCAGTAGGCTGTTCATCATGCAACAACAACAAAACACTGTTTCTCGTCTCCATTTGTATGTTGATGTATAAGATATTAATTTGAAGGGTATAATACGTGTGATACTGCAGGCAAGATAGTACCAAAATTAGTGGGGAGGGGGAGCATGCAACCAGTGTGAAGGCAGGATTTAGTAGAAGGGTGGTGGGGGGGGGGGGGGGGTAGTCTGCAGGCACAGATCCTAATTTGACACTTAATCAAAAAATCATTGTGCCTTGAGAGAAGTCTAGCCCAGCTACCTACTGGTTGTGTCAGGAGCAGCTACAGTACATGGCCTATGGTAGTCTTATAGTGCAGACTCACTTTTACGACTGACCAGGGTTTGTGCTTGCAGACTAGGGGGGGGGGGGGGTGACTCGATCGGTCCCCCTAAACATCCTATCGACAAATTTGAATAGTCTTAGCATATCTCAATAAATATTTCTCTTTCTTTTCTTTTTCTTTTAACTTAAAAAATAATAATAATTTGGAAGAGCTGTCGGCTAATATCACTTTTCACTTTATAAAGCTTCTTTAAAAGATGAACATGCTTTTGATTATAGAGCATGTCTTTCATAATTTTTATTAATTTAGTAGTAAATTACATTTTCGAACTTAAGTTTAAGCTTCTACAAGTGCCATTTTCATATGATAGCCCCGCCCCCTTCCCGTCACTTTCCTTTTAAAATAATGAACTATATATTCATATTCGAGCACCCGGTGGGGTGTCATTTGTATATTTTAAACCCTAGTATGTATTGATGATTAAATTATATGATTATTATTATCACAGAGTATATTTGTTGTTTTTAGAGGAAGAGAGAGTGAGGAAGGTGATGAGGCGAGGCCGAAAGCGACACAGAAAGGCTGAGTGTTGAAAAGAGTGGAAAGAAAAGAAAAGAAAAGAAAAGGGAGCTTGGTATACATTGTATATAGAGAGAGGCGAGGGATAGAAGGAGAGAGTGAGAAGGGAGAGAGGGGAAAGAAGGCGCGCGATTAAGAGAGAGAGAGAGAGAGAGAGAGAGAGAGAGATAGAGAGCGAAACAGACAGACAGACAGATAGAGAGAGAAAGAGAGAGAGAAGGAATTGAAATATGAGGGCGCTCTTTCAGAAAAGGACAAAATGCAATGAGCTTCCTTGTCGATCGTCAAGTTCCAAATTTCCATATTTACTTATTTATACATGTTCTTGCCTTTGGTAAATGAGACATTTATCCTCTCCAAATAAAAATAACTATACTACAGCCCTAAATTTCTCTAAAATTATATTTTACAATTCCACAAACAATCTTCCAATCTTACGTATTTCTCCCAATATCCCACTTTATTCTTACTCGATCATTTATCTTTTTTCTTAAAATCATACTTTTGCAGTCTCATTTCAAATCTCTGTGATCTGTAATATTTGCTGTCTTATAGGTCTAAACTGCACCAAATTCTTTTTTAATTCTACGATTAAAATACCCTAACTTTCTTTTCAACAATGAGAATCACAAACGCTTACGTGGAAAGGCATAGTAATAACTAAAGTTCACCCTACTTTCTGGTAATGGAAAACAAACAAAGAAATAAAAAGGAGGGAGTCAACAAATTCACTACAATTTCAAAAACCCAAGAAAGCACACAACCAAAACAAACCAGATTTAAAAAAAAAGCTCACTGCCATAGATTTGCTCTATTTCGTTGTAGACCTACAAATATATTCCAGTTGCATCCACCACCGCAGGATATTTTGCCCCCGTTTGTGAATCACTTACTGGATGCGCCTTTTACCGCAATGGACCCACCCCCCCCCCCCCCCCCCCACCCCCAAGAAAATGCCTTCAATTTTACGTCAGCAAAACATTCAACTTATTCAAAAAGCTAGACGATAATTGTGTAGATAGACTATCCAAGGTGTAGATTTGTCGATTGGCAATACAATTCCATATTTTCTCAAAGAAAGTTTGCATGGAAGTCGGATCAAGGCAACGCCTCCCGTTAAAATCTAACTCTTGACGATTGTTGGTTGAAAAGATGTGTGAGAATTCTTTTTTTTGTAATTACAAGTTGTTAATGATATTGGAGCAAATTCAGACAAGGAATTAGATTACCAAAGGAAAGAGAAAAAATTTTAGTTGAGGTATATTTTTATTTCATGTATGTTTACTGCATGGTAATTGGTCAGTCAAGCAAAGTGATAAGTAGCTATGTATCATTCATTTTGTTTGTTAATTAATTAATTAATTAATTAGTAAGTTAATTAATTGGTTAGTAGATTAGTTAGTTCGTTCGTTAGTTAGGTCCAGCAACTAACTCACTAACTAATTAAATAATGAACAAACACACATAATGAATGGTACAGGCTGTGTTATCACTTAACTGGACTGTTGTATAGTTAATAGTTAGTTAGTTACTTGGTTAGTTACTTAGTTTGTTTTTTGGGTTGATGTTTTGGTTTCTTTTCGTTGTATAAAGCTTAGAATTTTGACTGTAACTTCCATGAAAACCTTGATTTGATTGGTTATTGAGTGATGTTGCCATGATATCTAATATTGATAGCAAAGTAACCATCCGTGCATGGTAAGGAAAACGTTAGTAGCGTCAGGGCCCTCTCTTATAATTAATTGAGATTAATCGCAACTTATTTGCGACTGATATCAATCGCAACTATTTACATTTTTTAAGCTTGCATATTTCACATCAAATAATAACTGAAACTCTCACCTTAGAGAAATGCATCGAGTTTTTTTACAACACCTGGTTCCTTCCATTTACCGTCTCTGATCACATGTTTTACTCTCACTATACCAGTATAATTCCATTATGTTAACATCAGCATAATTATGATTATTACATTTTATATCACTATTGTTCCATAGAATTTGATTTTCAATATCTTTTACTTCAAATAAACCAACAAATCTTATCATTGACCGAATGCATAACATTTCTTGATAGAAACTAAGCCATAACTTTAATTCCAACCACGTAATTAACCCTATAAGATATATTTGACGAGATGAAGCCTAAAGTAAGTGTCGCCGAAGTATTGTCTCACCGTGAGGACATCGGAATAATTTCAAGGGAGGGAAATACATTGGTGACATAGCGTTCTTTTCAATAAATGTGGAAAGGGGGAGGGGGGGGGGAATGGCACCGCCAAAATGGCTGATACAATTCTCTTTTTGTTTTGTCTTTCGCAAACCTTATCTTTACACACATCGCCGATTTTCAAAACCAACGAAGAAGAAACAGGAAGATCAATCGGCAACAGAAGAGAGAATCATTGTATTTCTAATCTCTCTGGCAAGAACGATTGATAGACGCCCGTTCTATCGCACTTTGAACATCTCGTCACAGGCATGTGACTCCGATCGAGTTGTCAATCATAAAGACGATTTTTTATTCTGACGTAATTTTTGTTTGCACATCATGAACTCTATGTTTGGGTCAAAGGTGAAAAGTGTAAATACATGGGGTCACTGGTCAAAAGCATCTGACCTGTTTCAACCCCTTTAACTAACATAATGAAGGGGCGTAACGGAAGCAGGGTATACCTCAAACTATAAACCCGGGAAGGAGATTCTTTTCTTCTTCAAATGTAATGGTATTGAAAACATTTTGTATAAGCTTGATTTGAATCTTGTCCATCTTTATTGGTACCATTGGTGTTATTTATTCATGAGAGCCACGAAATAATTTTGAACATTTTGATTTAAACTGCCATATAGGAACACCTCGAAGAGGAACTATTTAACAAGTTAAAATAATGTAGAGGTATAGAAATCATGTATTGTATTAATTGATGGAAGTTTGAAAGAGACGTTTATTCTAAAACCTGTAGCATTTCAGAAAATACATCACGTTTTGATTAAACTAAGGTGGAAACCTTAATGAAGAAGACAATGGGATGGTAGATATGGGAAGGGAGGAGTAAAACTTTCAAGTCATCATAAATCATCATCTTCCTCCAATTAAGAAAAATGTAGAGCGCCAACATTATCTAGTTGCCTAATCGAAGACGCTGATGAGACCGAAAAGTACTGAATGGCATGTTCATAATTCACTGGAATTATGTTCACTTGGGTTTAGTTTGAAAACTTAAATAATGATAAGATGTCATCAAAGTGAGGTTTTTTAAAACTTGGTCAAAGTATCAGAATTAATGAAACACGTCCGAAATCTGACACGTGGTATAGGTGTCAAAGTTCGACAACCGGGCGTTCCCCAATATCACCCATGTCTCTTAAAAGTAGACTAGGCTCCAGCTTCTCAGACTCTCTGGCGCTCAACTCTACCACGCAAACTCATATTTCAGATTTGAACCGCCAGTTATCTTTCCCAGCCCAAAACGCAGAGCTCACTCTGTCAGGTTTGTCTTCCAGCGAGCCAGCTCTAATACCAGTAATAGCGCCTCATCTTTTTTTCTCCGCACATCTCCAATTATTTCTTTACATTTACAAGGAACTGCATCTCCAGCGTTTGCTGCTTATGAGATTTGTTTTTTCGACTTGGTCGTATTTTGTTATTTTGACAACACTCCTTCATCGCTGAATAAACGTTTCATCCGCATTTAGGAAACATCGAGAAAACACTCCGTAATTCTTTGAAAACAAAGGTGAGTGAAAGCAAAATGTTTATATATTTTTGTTGTTAATTAGTTTATAAGGACATGTCTCTTCCTGAATAGATTTGGAATTGTGTTTTGATTGAGATTTTGTTGATACGTCATGTTTCACCACCACCCATCATTTTGTTTGTAAATCCAATAGTTGAATGTTGCAGTTGTATGCATGTCTTTTTATCGAATAGTCTTATACGAGTTTGATGCTGTCTAGCTTAAGATAGATCAATAATTTTCTTTTAACTCACAATGAAAGTTTATAAACTAGACAGGAGCTAATAAGAATAAGATTTCATAAAAATGTTACATTCTTAAGTGATAAGGACAAGAATTTCGTTCATTAAGAAAATTAGTTAATGAGAATTCGAGGAAACTTCAATGGGTAACAGAAAAAAACTTAGTTATGGGAGTTTGAAGAAAGAAATCCCACATTTTAAGACTTAAGAAGCAAACTTATAATCCTGGCTTCAGCATGTTTGGTCATTTCATTTTCAAAGTGAGCCGGAAAGAAAGATTTGTGTTAGTTTTTATGGGAAAAAGGGACACAAAATAACAGAATATTACGAATACGAGTATCATAACAAATCCATGGCATAATTAAAATTGTATTTTCGTTTGGCCTTTTCGGTTTCCATTAAAAATAGGCTACTATGTGATTAGTTGAAAGGTATAGAACAGTAATACTCAAAAAAATCTTTTCGAAAATGAAATCATCATATTTTACCCATTTGATTTAGTTTGCAACCCAAACGAAAATGTTGCATATATTTATATAATTATAACAACAATGACCAAGTAATCTGTAGTTTCTTATCAACCCTTATAATTCGACAAACTACCCTTAACTTGGCTTTGTCAAATGTGTTAGGTGTATACATTTTTATTTCCATCAAATAGGTTGCACTATGTCTTTGCAAATATGATAATAATGTTTTTAGTGATTTGGTATCTCACGACGACCATTGCTGTTTTATGTTTTGTTTAGGGGTTACGATGGACACTGTTTATTACCATCGCCTTACTGGTGCCTTTCAACCTGTCGGTCCTACGAGCACGAATCAGACGAACACGGGTGTCGAATGCTACGGGAACTCCATCAAAAACGACCCGACACTCGCCGTGGGTCTGCACCGCGCCGGTGCTTTCGTCACCCACCAGGCCACCTCCTCCTCCTCCTCGCCAAGCTGTCCGGGGAGCTTAAGCGTCGAGGCGATGGTGAATAAAGCTGGTTGCTTCGGTACGTCTAGGGAAGATGGCAAGGCGTACCCGATGACCTTGCAGCATTACAGCGAGTGCATTCCAGTCGGCGCGCCGACGACCTCGGCTCGCGTTATCAGCTCCGACGGCGTTGCGGAGCCATCAATGTTGTCGGTCGCTGCCAGAGCCGAACAAGTAAGCTCGCCAATGCGACTGAGTAGCCGCAGCGTCCAAACGGACGATGTTGCTGATGACGAGACAACCAAAGACGACAGGGAGAAGAAACCGATTAATGACGATAAACCCGACCCATCACAGAAGCCGCCATTTTCTTACGTTGCGCTCATTGCCATGGCAATCAAAGATTCGCCAGAGAGAAAGCTAACTTTGAGTCAGATTTATCAGTACATTATCAATAAGTTTTCCTATTATGAGAAGAACAAGAAAGGATGGCAGAACTCGATCCGGCATAACCTCAGCCTCAACGAATGCTTCCTGAAGATAGCCCGAGAAGGGGGAGGAGGCGAGAAGAAAGGGAATTATTGGACCCTCGATCCCGCCTACGATGACATGTTCGAGAAAGGGAACTATCGACGTCGTCGTCGGCTTCGTCGACCGCATCGCCCCATCGCCATCATCGACCGCTCCTACATGGCAGCCGACGGCGGGTACCCTTCCTACCCACGATGCATCCAGTACGGCAGCAGCTGGGGCATGTGTCCTCCGCCGCCGCCCGCAGTTCCATCCACCCATCAACTCCAACCCCAGTACCCCAGCGGCCCGTGCCAGCTGAGCTCGTCACCCACGCCATCACACAGGGGCCTTATTCCATCATCGCTGACTACGCAGTACTCTCCGAGCTCGTACTCCCAGTTTACACCGTGCACGCTCTCGCCTTCGCCTAACACGGGATATATTTCGTCGGTTGGGTTGTCGCAGAACTCGGCGATCTCTAGCGCAAGCACCGGCTACGAAGAAGGCGAGCTCGGGTTGGTGGCCATTGGGGCTGGATGCGGTACTTGGCATGTCTGATACCTCAACTTAAGTTTATATATTATAATCACCACACGCGTTTTAATAAAACTTGAAAGAAAAAACAACGATATGGGGTCTTGTTTAAAATATAATAAAAAATCATCATAATCATTCAGCCAAACGAGACGGTTGATCATAAAACTATTATAAAAAAAAAGACTGAAATATATTCTGGAACTTTAAAAATTCTCCTTGGACAATTTATAAAAAAAAAGAAGAAGAAACAAATGGAGAAAAAAAAGGGGGGGGGGGGGGGGGTTACAACTTCTAATGTACGGTAAACATAATCTGGAGCTTTAAGATTAGTATTTATCCAAATGCATAATTGCCCGTTATAATCAAAATCCCCACTAAAATCCTTGCTTCTGCACTCTCCATTATAGCATCCGTTGTTCGTATTTTAGAGCAAGAGCATCTCGATTATGTTTTTATTTAATTCAACCGATATTTATTCGATAAAGCCGTCTTCACTAATAATGATATCATTTTGTTGGTATATAATGTATTCAATCATGTTACCTCTTTCCATGAAATGATTGTGATAATATGGTTTATTCATGATAGATACAACTTATATATATCTTCCCAGAACTGTATTGATCAACCTATATAGTCATAGAGATAGATCAATAATGTTCTATGAAGATATTAACCTAGTATAACGAATAAAGCATATTGTCACAATCATTTCATGGAAAGAGGTAAGAAAAAATTATTTAAACTTCATGGGCAACAGTTTATATTATATTTGATATAATGTATTCAATCATGAATATATATGTAAAACAAACTTTGCTGAACACTGGTTTTTATACGAGAAAAATAAGTCAAACGAACTATTTCAAACACCTATGCATGAATTTTAATAGCGCGGGGGGGGGGGGGGGGGGTACAGAAATATAAATACCATATCCTTTCAGCACTTCCTTGCAAGTAATCATTACATCATTATATCGAACTAGCAGACTATTATATGTCTATTTTGTTGTACTCGTACAATATCAACCAAATTTCTCACTTTTGTTTTATTTCTTTCTTTATATACTCATTCTTCTCTTTCTTCTTCTTCTTCTTCTTCTTCTTCTTCTTCTTCTTCTTTTTCTTTTTCTTCCTCCTCCTCCTCCTCCTCCTCCTCCTTCTTCTTCTGCTTCTGCTTCTGCTTCTTTTTCTTCTCTCCTTTCTTTCTTCTTCTTTCTCTCCACTTCGTTTTCCCTTTTCCTTCTTCTTTTCCTACTCTTCCTGCATTTACCCTTTCTACCTCTCAATTCTTTGTTTTGCCACCCGGCCTACATTAAGTTGTATTTTGATTTGTTTTTTTCTTCTTATTTACGTGTTGCTGTTGTTGTTGTTGTTGTTGATGCATACGTTTAAGTATATGAGTTACTTTTAAAAGGTAATTGTAAAACATTTGCCATTATTATTTAGCCGAAAGTTGGAGGAAGTCTTAATCGTTAACGCTTATATCATAAATTATTTTGTGTTCTGTTAGCTCTATTGTCATTAATTTTCATGTCGTTAATTTTATTTTCTGTCTATACTTTGCAAATTCATGCAAACTAAATTTTAATATACCAGGTGGTTTGTCATCTGTAATATATAAATCTAAGACCGAATATATTTCACAAAATTATAGGACATCTTAAGTTAAATATTTTTGGAAACATAAAATTAGAGAAAGAAGGTTTTGAAAAAAACTCAAAAATCTAGTACGGATGTTTGGAAAAAAGAGCTCGTATCTAAAATGTGCGTGCGAAATCTCACACCTATTTGGCTGATGTAATTTGGGGACGGGGCAATTCTTCCATTCGTTGTAAAAGACAATCGGTTTCATTCATTTATTGCCGAATAGCAACGAGTACAGATTTAATGGAGGTTTTCGTCTTGCGCTTAACAGAGTAAATCGCAAGAATTAACACAAAGCCGAAATCGGACAATGTCAACAGAACCTAAAGGAACGATTTCAGCACTCGATCTTTAACATTCTTGCGACTTAGGCCTACTTTGATAAGTGCAAAACGAAAACTTCAGTATTTCTTGTATTCATTGCTTTTCTTTGTCTCTTTTTTATACTAATCATCTCTTTAATTCCATGATTCTTCAAAACATATATCAGGGCAACTCTAAACATTGCGGATAGCTCGTTTTGGGTCCTCCAGAAACAAACAAACTACTCCAACAAAAAAAAAAGAAGAAAAAGAAGAAGAAAAAAAAGGAAAAATTAATAAGTTTTAGATTTTCTGCAGTCAAAGATTTTGAACAAAAAAATTGTGATCATATTTCTGTGTTTAAAAAAATAAGAGAGTTGTCTGCCAGTAGACATTGCAATGACTGATTCGCCTATTTGAAATTAGATTCGCATATTAAAGTAAGCCTGTTGTGGTTACGATTTTTTTTGTTGTTCTTATTGTATACCGATTTTGTTGAATCTATATTTCTCTGATTTTCTATAAAGCAGATTGGATTTGCTCTTAACAATCCATTTACACAAATATAGGAAGAAAGTATTATGATAAGCAACATTTTGAACTAAAAATATAAGCCACACAATTTACTCCAAATGTATTTTGTCAAGATTTGACACGAGTTGCAAATACCAAGACAATGTCAAATCATTAATGTATGCCTTGATGGTAAGCGCTCCACTTGTTTGCCGACTGAAATGAATAAAAGGAGTTTGTTTGTGTTTTTTTAGGCCGAGTGGTGGGTCTACGAAATATAGGGGCGTAAGCCTTTAAATTGAATCACCTAATTGGCCCACATCTGGAATATTGTGTATTTTGTCACTTCTACTACTTCTTTTCTAATCTAAACTAAGAAATAAAATAATTTTGCAAATAACAACGCTGTCTACCATTGTTTGTTTCTTTTTTCCGATTGATTTATGTTTGGATAGATTGATAGATGGATATAATTACTGATATTAAGGGAATGTTTGGAATTCCAATCAAATAATACAATAGATGCATGCATGGCTATCAATTTTAATCAATAACTTTGATAAGAGACAATTGTATGATTTGTAGTTGATTGATTGGTTTGATTGGCTGACTGACTGATTGATTGATTGATTTGTATACCTCACCTTTACAACAAGAAAGATGGATTTCACACAGTACATTATATTATGATGCAGATATCAATACAATATGCGAATGAAATAAAACATAGATAACTCATTACTTATTAGAAGTCACAACCAGACAACCAAGTACAACAATTTCTTCACCGACACGATGGATATAATTTGCTGCAAGTTGCTCAATTCATTGACTAGTAAGTGAAAAAGTTTGATTCTTTTAAAATGAATTAAAGTATAAAAATAATGTTACGCCTACAATTTACCTTTTTCTGTTGAGTGTCAAAATTATATTATCACACTCTGCAGCTAGAGCGAGTAGACTATATGTTCATATACTGAGAACAGAATACGGATTGTGTACCCTGAATATGACAGAGTTTGTATTGTCCAGATGTGGATGTGCTTGACCGAAGCGCTGATAAAATGACGGACAGTTATAGTGTGCTTATATTTCTCTTAAGGTTGATAAACAAAACAACACCGTTAATGGAAACATCGACATTATACCGGAAACAATAATGTGATTAAATATTTCTCTGAAGACGGGTCGGCTGTTTGTCTCTCCCCCTTCATCAGGTTCTTCGGCATCTTCAGCGTTTGTATGGTATAGGTCTTTATCTGTTTACTTCATCTTCATCTTCTCATCCTCTTTCCTTTCCCGCCGTCGTTTTTTTCTTCATCTTTTTCTCTTCTATTCCCTTATCATCACCATCGCCTGTATCTAAATTTTCTTCTCCTTATTCTTTTTCTATTTTTTCACTTTCTCCTCCTTCTTCTTTTATCTTTTTCTTCTTCTGCTTCTTCTATTTCGTCTCCTTCTCCTGCTTCTTCTTAAAAAAAAATCTTCTTCTTCTACTTCTTTTTGTAAGTCTTCATCTTGTCCTCTTTGTTTTCCTCCTATATCTCCTTCTATTCCTTTTCCCCCTGTCTTCTACTTCTTCTACTTCTTCTTCTCCTTCTTCTTTTTCATCTTCTTCTTCTTCTTCATCTTCTTCTTCATCTTCTTCTTCTTCTTCTTCTTCTTCTTCTTCTTCTTCTTCTTCTTCATCTTCTTCTTCTTCTTCTTCTTCTTCTTCTTCTTCTTCTTCTTCTTCTCCTTCTTCTTCTTCATCTTCTTCTTCTTCTTCATCTTCTTCTTCATCTTCTTCTTCTTCTTCTTCATCTTCTTCTTCTTCTTCTTCTTCTTCTTCTTCTTCTTCTTCTTCTTCTTCTTCTTCTCCTCCTTCCTATTCATCTTCTTCATATCTATTAATCGTTTCTTCTTCATTATTTTCCGCCTTTTGGGGGTCCTTTTTTTTGGAGGGGGGGGGGGTCTTCATCTGCTCCTTCCATCTTTGCTCTCTCTCTCTCTCTCTTGATGCATGTATTCTCTCTTTGATCTTTTCCCCCTACAATACTTCAGTCTCCCTACGTGTGGCTTTCCTCTTATACCTCTCTGCTTTTGTGGTTACTGAAGATCATCAGCGACTTTTACGTTTGATTTTTATGTGCAAGAAAACACTTCGCCGATTATTCTCACCGCTTTCGTTGTTCAATATATATATACAGGGGCGTACGCAGGGGGGGGGGGGTGTGTTGGGGGTTCAAACCCCCCCCTTTGGTATTTTAATGTATGTAAACCCCCCTAAAAAAACCTAAAACACCCCCTTTGGCTTTTTTTTTTTTAATTTTTTTTATTTAAAAAAAAAAAAAAAAAAAAAAAAAAATTATACCCACGGCTAACCTAAATAAGGCGACCTTACCCCCCCCCCCATACGTAAAAAAATGTCAAATTTTGAAATTTTGAGACCAAAAAAAAAAAAAAGTGTCCGCTTACCCCCCCCCCCCCCCCCCCCCCCCCCCCCCCCCCCCCACTGAGCGACTTTTCGGCCGGCGCGATTTTCAAATATTCGGGAGCAAAATATTTTAAAACCCCCCCCTTGAAAAAATCCTGCGTACGCCCCTGTATATATATATCTTCAATATTTTCTCTTTTAGGTACATTGTACCATCTTAGTATTGGGGATGTAATCTTCAAAACGGTTTTAAAAAAAAGTGAAGTTATAGCTAACTTAATATGTGGTTGGAGAAAGAAGTTGCAATAGAGCAGATCATAAATTATGAACGAAGATGATTGAATGGAATGACTTCGTTTACAAGGAAAAGTTAAATTATTATTCAAAGATGCAGTTCTCTTTGCGTTTGCTTTTCAAGTCTTTTAAGTGCCTTATTATGAAATGAACGTGATTATCAAGTTTATTTATTAGGAAATAATTTACTCAGTGATAGTTTTACTTCGTTACCACGCAATTTATAAGACTTTTGATTTCTCTTTAAGACCTACCCTCAAATTACCAAACAATACTTCTTGCCTTGAGACGGAAGTGAATTTACAGACATTAAAGCAAGAAGCGGGAATAGTGGGTATGTTCGGAGCAATGATCTTTTCATAAACCAACAGTCGTTGCGACATCGGGCAAGCTTCGCGTTATCAAGTATAGGATGAGGGGGTTACTGGTGCCATGGGGGCAGGGCGGGGGATACAGATCTAACTCGATGAATATAATTCGAATCTAAGGGGCCATTTAGAGGACTAAGGGGAAGGTGTGGGTCGTGTTTCGTATACTGTCTTCATTTTACGTTGCCTTTAATAATTCCTCGCTCCGTTTCTTATCTCTCTCTCTCTCTTTCTCTCTCTCTCTCTTCCTCCTTTTTCTTGTGTCTTTCGATCGGGAGAAAGGGGGCCGCACTTATAAGCAAAATTATTTGAAAGTTATTGAAACAAATAGGGATTTGTGAACTGGTAAGATATAATACAAAATATTCAAAGAAGAATTACCACAAGAGGCCGCGTGGAGGTAGCATGAGGTTAGTTAACTATTAAAAAACAACCGATAAATTTCTCCGATATCCGAAGCCCCAGGTATGCGCCCCTTATCTGCGGGTTTAAATTTTACACCTCCATAGCGAACATTGTTTTGAAAACAAAAGTTTTTTTCTTATTGTGGGTAGTTGAATTCCTTTCTTTCATCTTTCTCCTTGCCAATCACACTGTGAAATAAGAAGGACGTGCTTGTAGAAGATTTGAAAGATAAAATTAGAAGGAGAAGAACGTGCCCCTCCATCGAAAGGTGACATAAGACAAAAAGTGAAAAAGAAAAGAGAGCGGGGTGGGGTAGAAAAGAAACGACTACATATTCGTATCATGTACTTGTCTCTTGCCATTGTTTTGAATCTGTGCTCTTTATAATTGGTCAAATAAATAATAATAATAATAATAGCGAAAAAGAAGAGCCCCTCCCGCTCCATCCCCCGAATCAGCACCATTCTAAGTTCATAATGCATCAAACTAGAAAGACGAGTGCCGTCACAGTGCCGGTGACTCTCATTTGCCGGAACCCCGCAACTCCACTAAAAAAGAGATAACTCATGGTATTTCACTTTAAAAATTGCCATAGGGATTATAATCTGCCTTTTCATTGGATGAATGAACAAACAAACAATACAATATATAAACTGACCGGCTAAAATGATATCATCATTATTTCTCTTTAATCGCCTAAAAAGAGTTTTTCTTTTGAAAAAAAGAAATAATTCATCAGATTTACAATAGGGATTACCGTTCCATTTTAACTTTACATTTACATGAGGAATGCCAGATAAAACAAATTTGCTCGATTTCTTAAATTGTTAACATCAATGCTCATCGGAATAAGTATTCTCAGACCTACATCGTACAAAGACGGCCTAAGAGGAGTCACACTGCAGAGTAAATCAATTAAGAACTACATTTACTGCCAGAACTTCCAGAAGGAAGGGGACTCATTTACATGCAAAAGTTGCTTCTTAGAAGTCCTGGCTTATTATGTATTCTGTATTTATGATTTGTAGTTTTTTACGATGCAAAATAAACTGAATTGAATTGAGTTGAAGGCGTTTAGACCACTGGCATACACATCAATTCAAAGGGAACTCCTTCAAGATGTTTTGAAGAATGATACAGAAAAAATTCAGAATTAATATTGCGATTGGTCACTAATGACTTGAAACTGAGCTTTATCACATGCTTTTAGAGCTTTTGTGTTAATGATCAATCAGTCAAAACAATCATCAATCAACCAATCAATCAATCAACCAATCAATTAGTCATTCAGTTTATAAATCAGTCCATCTATCCATACAAACAAAAGGGTATCCCGAATTGCATACAATCAAATGGTCAATTCATAGTTATCTATTATTTGTGATCATAATTTCCTAAAACTTCATATTTCTTATTGTTTGTCTAGGTGTTTTCTGACATTCACTGACCGTTTCTCAGAGCTTTTGCTTTCCCTCAAAAGCAACTAGTTCACACAAAAAAGGGATTCATTTAAAACTCCGCTCACTCACAAAAACAAAGTCAAACTTTCAAAGGAAAGACAAAATCTATTGTTGTACTGTCGTACGCACAGAATCATTTATTAAGATATCCATTATATCTTCCTTTCCTTTGGATGTCTTATAGATTTCTACTGTAAAATGTTTTCAGGTATATACAGGACAGCGCAAACATAAAGATTAGATCATCAATATTTAAAATGCATGATAATATCAAAACATAAATCAATGTGTCTCTTTACAGAAAAAGGAACTTAAATTGGAAAATAAACACCAATACTTAGATTACTATAATATGGAGTGCAGGATACAGATAATGTACTTGAACATTTCTAGATAAATAATGAATTGTCACATAAGAGCTTTATGTTTTGATGGCCCTGATGGACAATAACCTTATAAATATTCAAAATCTATAGAAAAAAAAGGAAGAAAAACAGAAAGAAAGAAGGAGTGATGGAAAAGAAAAGCGAAGAAAGCGGAGCTCGGCAAAGGGGGTTCATGGAGATATTTTGGTTCCGATTTCAAAACAAGAGCTCTGAATGTTTTCAGTTTCCCATGACAATGCTTGCGATAAGAAAGATCCTAACCCGCAGACTATCAAGTATCACATCTAGGTCTGGACTCTCCCCCTTATCTTGGTCTGTTACCACACAGGAGAGAGAGAGAGAGAGAGAGAGAGAGAGAGAGAGAGAGAGAGTTTTCTTAGTCTATTACACAAAGGAGAAAGCAAAAATTTACAATGAAACATTGCTTGATTCTCAAACAGACAGGAGTTGACACTTCATGGAAGTCTCATAAGAAATGATGCCATTTTTTTCTTCATTATCAATATTTAGTCATGTTTACATGAGCCCAAATTTGATCCTACTAAACGTCTATTTCTGGTGTTTGTCAGAACAGGGTGGACGTTATCAGCAGAGAAAACAATGAAAAATAAACTATGCATACATCACAGAACAGGGCAGCTATACAACCATAAACCTTTAAAAGAAGCTAGAATATGTCCTTGAGATGTTTTTAAACTCCATCCTCAGTACAGATCCAAAATGTCAATGACTTGATATAAATATTCTGGATTTATATGGCGCTTACTACGGACTACCGTCTCTAAGCGCTTTACAGATATCATAACCCTGGTCATGGGATTCATTCACGTGCAATGTGCACCATCTCCACTCCTTGGGTAGTATTCCTACTATGTTATATTGTCTGTTGAGAGCCAGAAGGGCATTAATTGTATGCAAAAGGATATGAGCGAAGGCCCTTCTGGGTGTCAGCATATGTTATCATGGTTATTTCAACAAACAGTGTTGACTAGAGTATCTCTCTTTGATTAGAAACAAAATATCTGAAAAAGCAGTGTAAGCTTCCTGTGACATAGCAGTCTGTACACTATGCTTCACTACCCCCAAAGAAATGCCAATATGATAATAAACACACAGCAGCGATAGAATTTATCACTGCCCAAAATTAATGAAGAATGATTGATAATTACTTAGCTTGTTTGCTTAGATTTTGATGGAAGTAGGCTAGAAATAAGACATTCTTGTAATCGAGGCTCTGCTAAAACATAGCTGAAAATAAAATGTCTAGGTTTGCTCTAGTTAAAACAAAAAGGGGGAAAAAATACTGAGCTTATCTGACACCATTAACTTTAATTCTACACTTTATTGGAATTAGAATTCATACTTTCAGTTTCAAGCAGTTCATAATCTCCTCTTCACTATATCAGTGAATGACAAAAAATATCAAAAGCAAATAAATCCATGATAAATTCATTTTGCAGATAATTCCACATTTATCTAAATCTTCTGTGACACAGATTCTCATTAAATATAATTTGAGTGACATCGAGTAACATCTACAGTGCTATTATATATTTACAATTTAACAATAATGTGACGTATATCTGGAAAACCACCATGGAACTTCGCTGGAATACACAAAATGCTTTGAATAAATACCAGTCACGCTCTTTATATCTCACAATTCAATCCCCCTTTCGAAAGTACCCTACTTAGTACTCTATTCAAAGCATTGGTGCATTCAATCGTTCCGCTGTGGCATCTATGGAAATGTTTCATGGTATCTAATCATCTAATAAATCCTCATCCAGGTCCACTCCAGACGTATCGACATTGTCATCGATGTCTAAGTTGTCAAAGTCAAAGTCGAGATCGTCGGTGTCCGTCCTCGGACGCTCTCCAGCTGGAGGCGACTCCTCAGTGGCTCCACCTGAAGGGGCTGCAGGAGTCTCCTCTGGAGCAGCTGCCTCAGGTTCCTGCATAGACTCAGGCTCCTGCGTAGGGTCCTGATCCTGCGTATAGGAGAAAAAAAGATCAATAAAAAAGGTTCTGCATTTAGGATTGTGCATCTGTGGTAAATGCTAAACAAAATGCTAAGAAACCCATTACCTTTCCATCTACGCACAGCAAAACAAGAAAGAACTATAATGAAATTCAGAATTGAACCAGTAATACCTTAGTAACAATGCCAAACCTGATCCATATCGACTCAAAACCAACTGACCAATGTATTTTATTTGTTTGGTTTATTGTCAGTTATAATTGTGACCGGGGAATTTAAAAGGAGCAGTCATTCAAACCTTAATATTCAAAGAAATGTCTCAAATTCAAAAGTCATTTCAAAATATTTGAACTGTGCATGAATCTATCTAGAATAATATTGTTTGACAAAACATACTAGCAGAATCGTTGTTTTGATGTGTGACAAAGGAGAACACAACCTATTGTCTATTTTTGTTCCCAGCATTTCAATGGAAAAAACATCCCAATTATTTTTAGATTAGATTTTGAACTTATTGATTTTGTGTTAAAGCCCAAATGTTACAATCAAAAATATATTTCATTGACAAGGCTACTAGATCACGTAAACAGAATAACTTCAGAAGCCTTTGATTTTTGGATGTGATGGATAAGTCAGGAAAAAACTTCAACAGTGACACCATGTGTGTAGTCCTTACGTCCTCATGGCATCAGTGAGAGCCATTCTCCTGATGGCGGACATAGCACACTGTCCGAAACGTCAAGACCATTTCTTTCTTCGAAAAGATCTACAAGTTCTTCACAGCACTTTACCAAGAAAGAATTATACAACAGATCTTTTAGGAACTAACACATCTCTCCAAGAAAGAATACCCCAGGACTACACACATGGTGTACCCGTTTTTTCCTGACTTATAAACCCCACCATGCAAAAGATATAAAGAACATTTGATGTGATGGATGTTAGTTGTCTGTGCAATGACGCAACTGATTAGTACTTACCACAGAGAAAGCTCCGCTGGCAATTGCTTGTTCCATTTCCTCCATGACATCCCGATCACTAGTACTCTGTTAAAGAAAGAGAGGAACGATAGATGACACACTTGTTCTCTTCCATACAAAGGACAATTACAGATTATTTCACTTTCTGTCTTATAATCTGAAATGCTTAGAAATATCCCAACTTATACAACATCATTGCAATAAAACACATTGAAATATTAGGTATCTTTATAGCGCCATGTAAGGTGCTCAATATGCTCCATTATTACCCCAGCTCTGGCTATGCTTCCAATTTGTGGTGCTCACAGCATTCAAGGAATTCCTGCCTACCAGTACCCATATAAACCTGGGTGGAGAGTGGCAACTGAGGATCAATTGTCTTGCCAATGGACACTAGTGCTGTGCCATGGACCATGGAAATATCAAACTTTGTTATACCAGGCATCTCATTATATCACAGCTCATTGTTCACAAAGTGTCCGAGATGTAATCATTAAACAACACAAGAAAATGGCCAGAGTAATCTTGGGGGCCAATGTAAGAACCCCAACTCAAGAAAATTTAAATAAACTCAAGTGGGTAAGCATTCAAAGTAGGTGGAATTATTTCAAATTATTTTCAAAATCAAACTCCCGTCTATATTTTACAAATGTTTCAAAAAACCCAATCTTTACATAACATTAGAACACGCAGTGCACAAAACGCAGGATTAATTTTACCCAAAATAAAAACCCAGATGGGGAAACAAAGTTTTTCATTTGATGGTGCGGCTTTCTGGAATACTTTACCTAATTTAAAAAAAAATGAACCATCAAATTCTTCATTTACTCTTTTGTTTTGGCGCTATAATAATTTAAATCATTGAACTGGTCCATTGTGTTGTGTTTGTTTCTTTTCTTTTGTTCGAAAATGTTGTAACTTAATTCACTTTGTTTCGATTTGGATTGTTTGTTTTCAATATGTTTGTTAATTTTGTATTTATGTTGTAGGGCCTCCACGGAAAACAGTATTGAACTACTGATGGAGCCACCCTACTAAAAAAAGACTAATAAATAAATAAATAAATAAATAAATTGTAATGAGTTTCCACTGTAAATACACTAAGCGATATGCAGTTGTAGGATTGTAGGACTTGCAATCAACTTGGATCAGTCTTAACTTTTTAAAAAGAAGGTGCCAGAGAGCTGGCCAGAATTCTAGGCAAGACTACTTACAGGTACAGCAGGGTATTTGTTGGCAGGGATGGTGGTGCGACGTGACTTGAGGAACTGTTCAGCCTGTGCAGTCTGTTTGAGTCCTTGGAATAGATTCTCATACTGGGTAGGGTCTGCTAGGGCATCGGCAGCCTTGGCATTGACCTTCTTGAGGCTCTCCTTCCATGCCTGGACAACCCTGTGATGACAGGACAGGAAATACCAACGATAATGATCAGCAGTGAATTATTGAATTTACAATTAAAGATATAAAGTTGAGTTCTGGTCATGCGGTTGCATTGTGAAAGAAACGTTGTGGAATCGATCAGAAAGGTTGAGCATATAAGTATTGATGTGTACTGCAAGGTTCTGGAATCATCAAAATGATAAGAAATTTGGCCCAGTCTTGGTAAAGTTACAAGCACTGTACACAGAAAGATGTATATGAGACTATGCAATATCTATCCAGTCCGGATAGATATAATAATTTACCAAATATATCAATTAGTAGGCGGTTTCCCGACAACATTTGTATCATCACTTATTAGTTAAAACATATTCTTTTACATGATTGGTAATAAGAGCTTCCATTTCTTTTTTTGAGAGGGGGGTGTTTCCAAAACTGGTCTATACCTTTAAATTACATTAGTAGGTGCTAGTGAATCAAAAACTAGTAAAGGTTATTACTTACTCTGATATCTTGCTAGGAAGGTATGTTCTAGCAAAGAAAGCTGCTTCGGGGTAACGTCCTGACCGGCAAAGAAGCTCCAAACACTTCTCAATCCTTAAGTTAAAAGAGACAAGTTAAAATTTTAACATGAGAAAGACACTTGATTCTTAAGACCAGAAACAAAGCATGGTTCGTCTTTTAGTGAGGCCACTGAGGACATTACCATGGGAGCTTGGCTAGAGCCAGGCTATCAATTACTAAAATGCTTTGAAACGCATCAAGTCATTGATGCAATATGCACTACGCAACAAATTTATTGATAATTAACACTTTTGTCAATTACTCCTCAACATGAGCCATCTCTACAACGTAACTAAAATTTCAAAAAATCATAAAGTGTTTTAGTCATTGTAAAGCATATTACCCGCTGAAAGCCCAAATGGCATGAACTCATAATTCTACACAATTTTGATGCCTTTCTGGCTCACAATGCACATTATTACATAATACAGTCAAACCTGCTTTAGTGACCACCTGTCTACAAAGACCACATTTTTGTCTCCCTTGAAAATGGTTTCTCATTGAAACATGTACTAAAGGAGTCTATACATAAAGACCACCTGTCTATAAAGACCATTTTTCTTGTTTCCCTTGGGTGGTCTTTATAGACAGGTTTCACTTTACATACTTTCAACAGACATAATACTCTCAACAGAAAAAATACTCCCAACAGACATTATACTCTCAACAGACATTATACTTCCAACAGACATTATACTCTCAACAGACATAATTCCATATACTTACTCTCCCCTGATGAAGTAGCCAACAAAAGCGACATTGTTCTTGTCGTTCTCCGCCGCCGTGGATGCCAGCTTCTCCACCATAGTAGCGTTACCAGAGCAGCTGGCCAGGAGGAGAAGCCCTCCGTAGTCCTGTGCCTTGTGGAGACACTCCTGGGCTAGTTCAAACTCGGACTTGGTGGTGGCAAGCTCAGCTAGCTGCTTCCACTTCTGTTCAGACTATAGGGTGTGTAGAAAAAAGGAAAATGTGGTTGTCATGGTCATACATGCATATGTGCAATGCCAATATGATCCTGAAACAGTCCAAATGCTATTATTATTACGATTTTGAATCATCAATATTCATCGACATCCCAATCTCTGAATTGATCATTAAAATCTTTGTCATGATCACTACTAACTTAAAATCACTACCATTGTTGCTGTCTTCATCAGCGTCCATCCCCTTTACCACCACCACCATCATCTTCATCAGCATCATCCTCATAACTATCATCATCATCTTCATCAGCATCACCATCATCATCATTATCATCACCATCATCATCATCATCACCATCATCATCATTATCATCATCACCATTATCATCATCATCATCATCATCATCATCATCATCATCATCATCTTCATCATCATCATCATCATCATCACCATCACCATCATTACTATTACCATCACCAATAATCAATCTCAATTCTATTCATTTAATCACTAAGAGATCTTTGATTCTCTACCTACCTCTGACTCTACAGCCAAACTGTAAGCCGTCTTCAGCTCACCAAGCTGAAGGGCAAGGTCAAACTTGTGCTCTGTATCACATGACACGGCCAAGGCCTGTGACTTGAAGCCCTGTCAGAATAACAACATCAATGAATATTAGGCACAAAGACAAATACATACATTTGAATATTGAAAATCATCAGAAGTACATAAGAAGTATTGAAGTATCACTGCACAACACATACATGGTTAATGTATGAGAAAGACAAGAATGAATGGAACTGAGCACAGATTTTATCTAATTTCATAATAGATATATATCTTTTCAAATTGTCCATATTGTTTCCTATAGAGATGCAGAAAATAAACCAAATGAAGATTCCAATGGAATTGTCTTTCACATAGGAGCATACATGTACATGAACTGAAATGGATTACTTCGCCATCAAAGGGCTCAATCTTGCCATTAAACTGAAAGCGGGATAATATAAGGGAGAAAATAACAAATTAAGGGAAAATTGAAACTTACCTGTTTTTCTAGGAAGTGAGCCACCCTTGTCCGATGTTCCCTAGGTACCGTGGGAAGGACCTTGTCCGCGGTGTTGAAGTCCCTTCGCATGACAGCGGTCTGGTACTCCAGGACAGAGAGCAGGAGGGAGAAGCTGACTACATTGAGTTCCTTGTCTCCGAGGTAGAGACGGTTGTCCTTGGCGATGTATCCCAACAGGTACATGGTCCTGCAAAGTCAACAATGACAAAATGGATGAAGTGAATGTATTTTCAATTAGGTTGCATGACACATATGCTCTAGCAACGATTGATCCTTCAACTTCAACTTCAACCTAGCAGAATAGTTGACTGGACGAGAAGTAAATGTCCAAGTAGTGACAGCAGACCTTGTGAAGAAGGCTACTATTAAAGGCATCGTTTAACAATGTTAAATCTGAGATGCACGACCGTACGTGTTATCAGTGTCTGTGATACAGTGTTATATTGAAGCCCTAAAAAAAATTGTGCTTCAAAATGATCAAGAAGTGCCTCAAAAAATTAAAAATCTTTCAGTGACCAGTTTTACCACACTCGTTTCCCCCAATAAACTGTAGTGTAATGAAAACCGTCAGGCAAACGCAAAATTTGGTTTCGAATTCCAATCGTAAATATCTCGATAATCAGACAGGTGATCGTCTTATAAAAGTCATGGGGTTCCTGACTGACCTAAAGGTTTATAATTTTCATTGCAGCATGAGCTAAATCCAGGATTTTGTTTCAAAATCTGAGACAATGTTACAGGATCCCTTTAAGTAAACTATTGTGTTCACATATTTCAAGCATTACAACCCATTCACATAAAAATCATTAAGGAGTACTTCTTTTCTCATTTGCAGTTAATTTTTGAAGAACGTAGAGGGCAGAACACCCTCTGCCGTCATAAAACTTTTTGCTAAATGAAACATGCAGGAGGCGCGATGGCTCAATGGTAGAGCAGTGGTCTCGTAACCACAAAGTTCTGAGTTTGAAACCAAGTCGATGCGCTAGTGCTCTTTGAAAAAGCATGAATCCCCATTTACAAGTCCATCGTAGAGGACTTAAAGCCGTAGGCCCCCTCGTTGCTTACTGACAAGCATAAACATGATGTCTTAGCAGTCGGGTAAAACAGGTAACAAGAATAGAGTAAAGAGTATGACCTACCTGTCAAGATGAGAGATAGTGACGATTTCTCCACCCACATAGTAGTTGAGTCTGTTCACAGAGTTGGTATAGATGAAGCAATCACCAACCCAACAGCCTGTCTTCACAACCTCCTCAATCTCACCAACAACCTGCAAGACATCAAAATCTTGTTGTACTACATTTCTGTATAATTTTATGTAGAGAAAATTACAATTTCCATCAGCACTACAAAGCCTTAGTTGACCTGTCAAACAAGAATACAAACATAACTTTGAGGGATTTGCAGGCCTGGAATGTTTACTATCTAATTTTGTTTTTTAAAGCCCCACTACACTACCTATAGCTATTTGCGCCCTCTATACAGCCAACAATGCCTAAACAGTACCTGTTGATCCCCCATGATGCCCTTTTTCTTATGTTAATTGAGAGCTGATTTGATGAGATAACCACCTGTCAGTGACCTTGCATCGTGGTCTAATACCTCCTGTAAACTATAACAGATGGGCTTTAAAAGCTAAGCAAACAATATATGGCTATTTGGCTAAAGCTGGAGAATTAATATTGGGTAATTTTTATTCATCAGCAAATGGCGGTGCATGAATCAAATTAACACTATCGTTTTAAGCATAATTATCGATACATTTGTTTTTCATTGAACACAGTGACATACCTCAAAAGCCTCTTCAATACCATCCTCTGTCACTCCCTCATTTGTCTCCCGTGCCTTGTCGACCGCCTCCGGGCTGTACCTCAGGATGAAAAAGGACTCGTCTGTTGCTATGCACAGCAGCTCACCATTCTCTGACCAGAAGAGCTGTTAAGAGTGACATGGAATTAAGCATGCATAACCTTGAGACTATGAGCATCATCATTAGCATCATCATGGTCATCATCAAAATCATCGTCGTTGTCATCATCATCATCAAAATCATAATCAAAAGCAACAAGTATCATCTAGAAATTTGCTCCCTATAATTTATAGTTAATTAATATCTTGGCTTCCAGATTATCTCATCTCTCTATCCCATACCTAAAGACTTGGTAGAATTGACAATAGAAGTATCCATGATTATAGTTTTCAGATCAGCAGAAAGATTTTGACCCAAAACGCAATCAAGATTCTTTCAACTTCAACAGTTGTTACTACCATAATCGTGTAACATCATCATCATCATGTAAATTTGTATCAATATGAATTTACACAATTTTGTGTTTCCTTACATGTCTAGGTGTGATCTCTATTCTCCTAATAAGCTCGGTAGAATCCCAGTCATAGAAAGCAAGACCACATCATCATCATCATCATCATCATCATCATCATCATCATCATCATCATCACCACCACCACCACCACCATCATCATTATCATCATCATCATCACATCAATTTACACAATTTCGTGTTTTCTTACATGTCTAGGTGTAATCTCTATTCTCCTAATAAGCTCGGTGGAATCCCAGTCGTAGAAAGCAAGACCGCTGCTTGAACGGACACCGAGGATGTAACCGCCAAAGATACCTGGGAGGAAACAAAAGGAAAGGATTGGTTATAATCACCACTTAACCTATTGCGTACAGGAACTGGTTGGGTCCTGTAGTAAGCCTATGGAAATGAAAGAATTCAGAAGTCAAAAGGTTAACACTGTTTTATGAGAAACTACATGCACTGCAGTACCAACATTGGGAATGGACTGCAATTTTGAATTTTGGGAGACCAGGGCCGTCTTATAAAGAGTTGATATTAATTGCAATTAGTACATAAGAGATAAGAGACTGCAAACTTGCGACTTATTGGAGGACTTGCAATTGTTTTGGATCAATGGCAACTGGTCATAAAGACAGGGCCCTGAATTAGACTTTGGGGCCAATGAGTGCTGGGTGTCCATTAGTTTTTATCCCTGCTTTACGGTTATTCAGAATTTTTTCATGAAGCAGTACATTGTATATGGGTGATTTGTATTAGAAGACATAGACAAACTTTCAAAACCTCACTGAAATATATTTAAAGCACCAACACAAGGAAATATGTGGGCCATTGTTGGGACTGTTAGTTTGATGACCCAAGCATCTTTGCTTATTTTCTTCCAAACATTTTTTAATCAATATTGTTTGGCATATATTACTTTTTCAGTCTAGAATATTTGGTTTACAGTTTGCTTATATGGATCGCTTGTAATCTAGAATATTTGGTGAAAAGGTTGTTGGATATTTGTTTTCGAGAAATATGTGGGAACTCTAAACATCCATCATTACCAGAACTCTGCAATAAACTTTAAACCACAGAGACGGTTTGGTATATATTAAGAAGTATAAAATGATTTGTTACCTTCTGCTCCGAAGTCTGGTTTGAAGGATTTCTTCTCCTTGAAATTCTTGAAGAGTTTGACTGATGTGCTGCTCTCTCTGATGGCATATCTAATCACCAGATGGAAGACAATGGTATCGGGTTAGTGAAGTCACTTCACAAGTGAATTTCATTTGATATCAAATGACAATAATAATAACACTATTCTACACTATTCTTAGTTTGTTGTAGAGTATCTAAAAAGTGAAACATTATCATGGAGTACACAAAACAATTTTGTAAAAGGGCTCGAAATATTTAAGCTGACATAATGGAAAGTACAAGCTAAAAGATTTTCAGTAAAAGTAACGACCATACATTTTCTTATACCAGTTGTAAATGTATGGTTGTTTAATTCATCTGTTTTCTGGAAACTATCAATTTCAATCTTATTTAAAGCAATTTTTCACTCTTGTGTTTGCTTTCTTCATTACCATGCTTTCTAGGAACATGTTGGGATCAATCATGAATTGATCATTTCATTTACACGTACAGCTAATATGCAAATGATTTCTAAGGATTTCAAAAACAATAATCGGTCAAGACGGTATTAAAGACTTACTCAGAGGAGTCATGTGACCAGACGAACTCTAGGGCAGATCCATAGCTCTTGTTCCTGAGAGCCATAGCTGTGTAGATGATGTATTCTCCATCTCCGCATACAACCACAAACCTGCAAGAGGAAAGGGGATGGAGTGTGTCAATAACAAGTTTGCAAGAAATCCATATGATGCATATCAAAAAGGGGGGAAAGAAAGAAAAGAAACTAGATGGAACTTCGACTGCGCGCAGTCGAAAATGATGCCTCCGTCATAGAGCAATTTTACAAACCAAAACAGAAGAAATTTTTCAAATTCAAGTTCAATTGTAATCCATTAACAGGTTCTCAGAATATCGTGATTACATGCAATTTCTCATATACATATATGATCTTTGACTTCATGACCCTAAAATCTACTCAGTTCATTGGCTCTGCAAGATGTCCTGAGTTAAATAGTAATCCATCTGTCAGTTCTAATGAGAATGCGTCCACAAGCTATTTTTGCATACATAATGAGCCCATGACCTTTGACCTTTGACCTTTGACCTTATGAACCAAGAATCTACTCAGTTCATTGGCACTGCAAGATCCATAAATGATCTAATTTTGGCAGGAATCCATCAATCTGTTCTAATGATAATACGATCACAAGCTATTTTTGCATACATAATGAACTGCATGACCTTTGACCTTGACCTCATGACCCCAAAATCTAATCAGTTCACCAGCTCTGCAAGTAACATACATGACCTAAGTTTGGCAGGGATCCATCAATCGGTTCTTGAGATAACGCGATCACAAGCTGTTTTTGCATACATAATGAGCCCTGTGACCTTTGACCTTTGACCTCGTGACCCCAAAATCTAATCAGTTCATTGGCTCTGCAAGATACATACATGACCAAAGTTTGGCAGGAATCCATCGATCGGTTCTTCAGATAACGCGATCACGAGCTGTTTTTGAATACATAATGAGCCCTGTGACCTTTGACCTTTGACCTCGTGACCCCAAAATCTAATCAGTTCATCGGCTCTGCAAGATACATACATGACCAAAGTTTGGCAGGATTCCATCAATCGGTTCTTCAGATAACGCGATCACGAGAACGGGACGTACGTACGTACAGACGTACGTACGGACGTACGGACGTACGGACGGACGGACAACCCGAAAACATAATGCCTCCGGCTACTTCGTAACGGAGGCATAAAAATGTTACATCAAACCCGTCTTGGGGCCACCTTTCTATAAATGTCACATCTTAATAATGGTCATTTACAATGTATTTCTTTCTCTTTCTCTCTGTGTAAAATTTAAGTGTGTACTAAACAACATGTCGAGAAAGGCTACTTGTCTACTGAGGTCACTCTTTCAGCTTCACTTGGAAAACAGTTGCAAGGGGCTGAAATAAATCCCAACATTGTTTCCATCACATCCTTATACGTAGGAGACAGGAGTTTGTAAGTTCTGACTGACTGTAGGACTTACGATCAGTTGTACCATTTTTATAAGCCAGCGAACTGGTTTATGTCGTTGAATAAATGACACAGGTATGAGTTTTTGTTAATGGTAGTAAAAACATGTTTTAAATATAAAGATGAGAGATGTGTTAGAAATGATAAACTTACCTCCCATTGGGATTATGTGCCAGTGTCTGTGGGTAGACGTCACAGCTTCCCATGTCTTTGATTCCTAGAGGTAGCCTCTCACCATCCTTTATCTCATAATCTAATCAAACAAAACAAACAAAAATCATACAAAACTCAAATAATTAAGGGTAGAAATTGACTTGCCAAGGTCTATTTTCCTGACCCTCCCCTTTTCCCTATTCTTATAAAATTCAGACATGGATATAAACACAACTTGTTCAGGGACAATTCTCAAAACTCCATCAGTATATATATATTATACACCTTACAAATCTGGAATACGTCTTCTATTACTTTAATTCTTCATTTACTACGTTAGATTTTCTTGTTTAATACAAGCAATTTTAAAGGGTTGAAATCTGAAATTAGCTGAAGTGAAATTTAACACACTACGCGATTCAAAATTAGATATTTTGCAATATGATTCAAACATATGTACTGTTCAGTATATTTAATTTGGTTTTGTCGATTCAATTTTTCCACTTACCGGTCATGGCTTTGAGGTTGGCTTGTTGTATTTCAGAGTGTTTGGCCCACATGATCTTTCCACTGGAGTCCATAGACATCGCTGGTTCTTCTCGCCCAAGCTGTATAAATGACAAAAGGAACAGATATTATAGTAGAAAATATTCCTAGACTATATTACTCAATGTGGAGCAACCTCACATGTACAAACTGTAACACCCTATGAATAGTGTAATTTTGAAGCTGCCAAGGATTGCGACAGGTTTTTTGTCATCATTTACGTACTATACATTTTTGGGGGCTTGTTTTATCATAAAGAGCTGTGATTGATTCAAATCGATTGAAAACGCAATGAATTTGAAAGTCAATCACCAATCTCTTCTGAAGAGAGTTGTGATTGATATCAAACCCAATTTGAGTTAGGACAATTTGAGTCAATCGCAACTCTATAAGACTTGGTTCAGACTTTTCAGCTTCAAATCCTCTGCAATGTGACACTTGTCAAGTCTGTATCTTCAATCTATGGCATAAACACATCTGAAGCTAGCATTCATACACAGGACAAATATAGAGTTAATCACATATCTTATACATTGCTAAGAAGAAACCCTCAACAGGAATAAGTGACCTTTGTCCTACCTTGATGATGATGCTGCCCTCGTCGTATCCGAGAGCGACATTGTTAGATCCCTTCATGTTTGCTATGGTCCAAACTCTCTCCAGACCATAGTTCAGTGTGGTCTCCAGCCTGTAGGTGTTGGCATGCCAGATCCTCACAGTGCCTGAAAGATTTATCGATAAAACACAAAAGTAGAACATATAAAATCATGGACAATACTCTATCAGGGGGGCGTTTCACAAAACTTGTCATCAGTGACAAATGACAGTTTTTGTTATTAGCTACTGAAACCCTTGCTTCTGATTGGTTATCTGCAGATTTGTAATTGATTTTTGTCATTTGTCATTGAAAAAAGGCTTTGTGAAATGGGTCCCTGGTCTCTCATTACTATCCTTGTGTACTTGAAAAAAACTGAAAAATATCTTGATTCTACTAGGATGATGTCTCTATGTGTGTGCTCTTGTAGATGATTTATCATACAAATTACAAGTCAACTCTGTTTATTACATAACTTGCATATAAACAAATTTAATTTCCATTCATTATTTATGGATCACAAAAGATATGAACTGAACTGAACTAAACTGAACTGAACTAAATTGACCTGAACATACATGAACTGAACTGAACTGTAATGAATTGAACTGAACTAAACTAAACTGAATGGAATTATATTGACATAAAATGAACTAACCTGACTTGAACTAAACTGAAATAATTTGTATCAACTTGAAATGAGCTCAACTGATTTGAAACTATACAAATTTAGCTTAACTGAACTAAACTGAATTGAAGTTTAGTGAACTGAATTGAATTGAATTGAATTTAAGTGAACTGAACAGAATTAAACTGAGCTTTCATTCAATGAGACCTACCGTCTTCTGACCCCGTCATAATGATGGGTAGCTCTGGATGGTAGCTGACACAGGAAATATTCTGAGCATGACCTTCAAGAGTCTGTACACAGGTCTTGTTCTATAAAGAAGAGAAGAAACAGCAATAATTATACATAGAGATTCTACAGACTATCATCTGATCGCGTCAATATAACATCCAACTATACTACATAGCCGGTGCAAAAACAAAACAAAAATTGTTTAGGGACTCTCTATTATTGCTACATAACAAATGAGATTTCATCCAAGGAAGATTTATGTATTATTTGTTTTGGTACCAGAAGTCTTTTAGAGAGTTCTAGAGCTCTTCAATAGCTCTATTAAAGTTAAACCTGATTTGATTGACTCCACTGATTTATGGAGCACAAAGTGTTAACCTCTTTATTCGGTATAAATAACTGTTATTTCTGTGACAGAATGAAAAAGGGAAATGGATTCAGTGGGAATTTGATTTCATGATTTTATTTGTTCATTTAGTTACATAGTAATGGTTATTTTATGTAATGAAGAAGGTTGACAGTTGGTACTTCATAAATCGGCGCACAAAATCTACACATTTAAACCGGGGGGGGGGGGGGGGGGGGGGGGCATTTCACAAAACTTGTTTCTGCTATAAGCTACTGAAATCCTTGCTTCTGATTGGTTATCAGCAGATTGGTCACTGATTTTTGTCAATGTCATTGAAAAAAGGCTTTGTGAAACGGGCCCCTGGACTATTATAGTTACTACATCTGTATCGATATAGTCCATTGCCTTACCTGATAGTCCCAGATCTTGACCAGTTTATCGTCAGCCCCTGAGACCAAGTACGGCTTGTCACCACCGTTGTAGTAGTCTACACAGTTCACACCCTTCTCGTGGCCTTCCAATGTGAAGTTAGGTGTGCTGGAACCAAGCTGCCATACCTGATAGAAAAGAAGATTATATATCATGAAATTGCATCCCTGCCGACCATTCACAACAAAGAAAAAGGAATCTTTCCAAGCTCATTAGGAGAACAGAGGATTCTGCATACTTTTATTTAGAAGTCTCCAAAAGAAAGTGAGGAAACTAGGGTACATAACATTACTTTGAAGACAAAGAAAAAAAGGGGAAAAAAAGGAAAAAAAAGAGAGAAAAAAAAAAGGATTATTCCTCTAATAATATTTTGGCAGTTATGAGATAAGTTTTTTAAAGGGTAATAATCACTCCAAAATAGTTTGCCTGGAATGTTGAGGGTTCCATGCTTTTACGATAAATATCTTCTTCTATTACTACTTCTGTAAATAGAAACTTCAAGTTTCAGTACTCTCAATAAATGTTAAAGTGACTTGGGAGTATACGAGTCAACACACACAATTTCCTGCGCAAAACAAGAAATATTGAAATATTATCGAGAAAGGCAACATTAGAACCTAAGTTTGACTTTGGTTTTATACGCTAAGGTTCATAACATTAGTTTGAAGGCGTGAAAGGGAATCGTTCCTCCAAATTAGGAACAGCTGGCGGCTACATCGATCCTGTTTTCCATATCTCTACAGGTCTCTCCCATAAGCTTTTCCCCCCCAACTGACACTTGATTTATTGATTCAAAGTTGAATTTGACATGAAATAATACGAAACAGTAAATTTTTTAGTTGCAGTCTCGGTAACGAGCTGGACTTTTAGGTTGATTGGCAGGGTTTTAGGTGGCAAACGGCACCCCAGCAATATTTTATTTGCAACTTGATTTACAAACCTTGACAGTTCTGTCGAGTGAAGCGCTGGCGAATGTGTTGTTGTCCTTGGGGTTGAAGATGATCTGCATTACATAGTGGGTGTGTCCTTCAAACACCTGTGTGCACTGCCACTTACGATCCCAGTCCCACAGCTTGATAAGCATGTCGTCTACAAGTCAGAAATATAATGTCCAGAATTAGCAAATAAAGTACTGGCTTCGATCAAACGGTTTGATATGATATCTTTATCGGAAACACGTTTACAAGTCTCCTACTGTTAAATTATCCAGTATCTTTACAAACAAGTTTCAAGTTGTAAATTTCTAAACTTTTGATATTTAAAAGGATCATAAACACGAACGTACCACTGCTGGTTAGAATGAACGGTTGAATGGGATGTACAGCTATACTCCTGATGTAATCAGAGTGAGCCTCAAACGTATGAACTCTCTCTAGTGTGTTGTAGTTGAATACTTTCACCTGCATGTCATCCTGTAAGTGACAAAGAAAGAAATGAAAGTCAGCGCCATTGCTCCCCAAAATTAAAACATACCACAAAAAAAAAAATTAAAGAAAAAGAAGCTACAGATCATAGAGATGAGAAATTCTTTTTTTATATTTAAAAAAAGAAAATTGAAATAATATGAAATACACCAAAACCTAAAAGCCATTTCATTAGTTTGCGACAAGCTATTGATTACTGCAAAAGTATACTGCAAACACCAGAATATTGTTTTAAACAACGACAGCAATGTACTATCGATTTTACAGTACCGGTATTCTTATTGCCATTCAAGAAATGAAAAGGAAAACAACAAACCTGGAATCAAGCTAAATTAGGACTGAAGAAGTTCCACATTTGGATGTTACCTTCTTCAAAACTTGCTATCTAAATCATTTAATTACGATTCTTGACAATGGCGATTACAATTGCTCCTTTCGGAACATAGACTTACTGATCCTGTGATGACCCAGTTCTTCCTAGCCACAAACCTGGCGGCTCTGACGGGTAGATCACACACCTCAAACGACTTGACAAGGGTCTGTATCAGGAAGAAATGATGATTGTTAAAGGGCAAGTCAAATAAATGTTTTTGTGATTTCAAAATCTGCTCAGCCAGAGTCTGACAGAGTTCGGCCAAGCATAAGGCTTTGTTGAATTTTGTTAGAATGCCAAATAAAGTCTGAGTCTGCAGACTACATGTACATGTATTGTCCACTGACATCCAATTGAAAGTATACATAAAAAGTAACACACGTTTCACTAGAATATTGAAGAATTTGTACTCATAATTTGTACCTATACCCAGATGAAATTCTTACCAGAGGTTCCAGTCCTGCACAATGCTATTTTACAGACTCATCATCATCATCATCACCAATTTTAAATGTATTTTTAAATATATCATCATTATGCATTTAATACAACAAAAATTTTCACATTTTCAAATTCTAATGCAATAAAGTACTAGATCATATCATCTAATGTACATAATATCTAAGTCACACTGCCAAAATGACTCTAATCTGACTGATGTTTGGCCATTGGTGTGATGCAAATTTTTGCTCTATCAGTAGTCGATCTCGTTGGTATGACTGGTGTATCAGTATGATTTGTTTCTTACCTGTGATTCATGATTCCATACATGCACGTTGCCATTGTACAGACTGACTAGCATCCACGGCTCAGACGGATGCAGGTCAACGCTCTTCACACGGTCAGACCGCGCCGAAAGCTTTCGCTGAGGGGAAGAGAAACGGTACACAGGATTAGGAGTAGATCCATGATTTTAGTAAAGGGGGGGGGGGGGCGTTATATTTTTGGGAAAAATTACACAATGGGGGCATTTTCTAAATGAAAATCTAGTGTATGATTATTGAGTTAAGAAAGGTTGGGGAAAGGGGGGGGGGGGTAAAGAACAGTTGTGCCCCTTACATGTAGGTCTGCCACTCCATAAAAAAGTGTGATTATTCTCATCTCATTTCTTCACATGATGTACATGTAAGTAGCAAAGATTCTACAGGGACTGCAGTGGGTATAAAATATGGAAAACCATACCACTTGAAAATGAAATACCATACAAGCCATTTCTTTACAAACGTGCACTTCACGTTCACATTTTACATTCAAATCAATTCTTACATCAAGTTTTATTTCAATTCCTCTTTAACAATACAATAAATAGTACACTCTTCAATTTTAAATAAGATGTGTGCTGTAGATCTATGTAAACAGATTCTTTATATACACTGTAATCGACTCTCTCAGTATAAAGTCAATGCAATGGGAAATAGCTACATCACTACATGACATGTACAGTTCATCTTACAAATTAAATGAAAAACACAAATCACTCCAATCTTCTTACCTTTATATCCAGTCTGAGAGGCTATATTTTGAGAAAAAGAAGAGAAAGGAAAAAGCAAGATAAAAAATGCAAATCAATGTCAGTATCTGGATTACACTGTAGATGCTACATGTACATTGCAGAAATTGAAACAATATAGACAAATGATAACCATTCCCGATTACCATCAGCTTTATATGAATTTAAAAAATGAACTTACAGTGCTTAATACTTGCAACATATGTATTGTGAGTCTTTTGTAACATAAAGACATTCCTTTTTAATTCTCCCTGTTAATCCTCCCTGTTAGTCTGTAGCTTAAATGTGTTATTCACAGTAGATGTAATGTAATTGCCTTAATTTGAATTTGTAATGTTTTGCCCTAAAATTAATTGTATTCTTTTGTATCTATATGTATTGACTAGATGTACCTGTGCTTGTGTATTTTGAATTAATTGTAGGTTGATTAGTATATATATTAATTATGGTTTGTAAATATGATATTGAATGTATTATTATCTAAGTATTGCCAACTTTGTAAAGCGCTTAGAAACATTGTAATAAGCGCTATAGAAATATAATGTATTATTTATTAAAATAAAAGTGAAACATTGAACATTAAAATAATAACATAACAATGAACTGGTTGGTTGATGAGACTGTTCTGCTGGGGGCCGTTTCTCGAAACCAACTCCATGACAGTCATATCTTTGTCGGCGACCTACGGAGATGTCATGAAGCGGATAAACCGTTTCACAAAGCCATGACAGACATGATATCGATATATCGCGATACTAGCAGCTCAAGAACATAGTCTTTGTCACGATCCATTTGATTTATCAAGAATAACCAAAAACAAGTTTTGGGGCTAAGATTGTTCAAAAAGAAATATATACATATAAATTCTCCTAAAATAAATAATAAATAGTGTCATTATCAAATGTAGATCATCAAACGATTTGCATATTTCTGTAAAGATTCTTAAATTTAAGAATAACCGGTGAGTGTTTTTTTTTCGACAGTCGAATCAAAACTTAGTTGAAGGATACCGTAATGTGATAGTTTATCAATACGTACTTTTTTGTTTATTGTGACGAGGAATTTTAGGCAAAATACCTTTTCTCATCCAGTTTTTATTCTAGAGTCTCATAAATACTCGTTATATAATTGATTTGATATTGAAAATATAATTTGAAACAAGTTATTACAAAGGAAACAATAATGCACAAAGGCCCCAAAGGTATGATGGTATCCTATTGGAAGACTATGGATCGGCTATGGACAACGGTCTGTAACATTTTTATTCATTTTTTTTTTTCCTCCATTTGTTTAATTTATTTTTTTAATCATTTTTGCAATTTAATTTAGATCAGTGGAAGGAAATACGAAGATGGAAAATAATTTGAAAAGATTTAATGTCTACATTCAGCTTTTTAAAATCTCTGTATATTTTTTAATATCACTCTTTTACATTTTCATTTTATCTCCACGTTTCTCTGATCTGACATTACACTATTTCTATCTTATCGCATTCTCTCTCTCTCTCTCTCTCTCTTTCTTTCCCTTTTGCTCATTATATTATCTTTTTCCTTCGCCATACCATTCACTCTCTCACTTCTACCTCCTACCCCTGGCGATCGCCCCCCCCCTCTCTCTCTCTCTCTCCCTCTCCACTCTCAGTCATATATCATTTTCAAGAGCTCTTCTCGCTCTCTATTCGTCACATCCAAAAAAGTAACGCAACATTTAGGCATGAAATGATGTTGTACTTTCAAATTTATTTTTTCTTTTGTTTTTTCAATTCTAAAGTTTCCTTAGCGATAGCCAATCTCTCTTCTTCAAGAAACCGCTTTCCCTTCTCTTCGGCCAGCCGTTCTTTCTCCACCTGAAAATAGAAGATAGGAAGATAAAATAATAAGTGGGCATATTAAATAATTATTTAAGGTTTATTCTCATTTTGCATTAATACATTGTCAGCTTAGTTTACCAGAAAGGATAACGATAAGAATAATTGATGTTTTAAATTAAAAAGGGTAATTTGGTTTGCTTAGAATAATTATGGTTTTCAAGACCGGAAGAAGAAAATTTAAATTAAATTTCAAAATTCCTAAGAAACGTCCACAATATATCTTTTAAACTGTAATACATGCAGGCATAATGCGTTTACCTCTAAAGCTTGCTTCCGGATGTCAACAAGCTGACGCAGAAGCTCCAGTTTCTTCTCTTCTATGCTGAGCAACTTTTCGGAGTAACTATCAGCTGGCGGCTGCCGGCGCTGTTTTTGCCTTGCCTTCGGAGGTACGGAAGCTGAACTGCTTGGGCCATGTGACTCGTCTGTTGTTGGAGGTTGCGCAGTCGAACAGCTTGGCCCATGGTCGTCCGTGTCTACCCCTCCCTGAATGCCTTCGATTGCCGTTGAACCCATAATGTCCAAAACCCTTTTCTCGGTGTCGTCGAGGGTGTCCAAGGGGGGAGGGCCCCCTCCCGTCTTCGTTCTCTGCTTACGAATTTGACTATATTTGTTTTTAGTCATTGATTGGTATTTCGACCATTTTGCCCGGACTTCATCTCCTGTCCTCTCCCCTCCTGCGATTCCGTTGATCTTGACTGCAATTTCATGCCATTTCGTTTTTTTAAGCTTCGCGGAACTCAAGTCTTTAAACCCCGCAAACAGGAGTTGATGGTTTTCTTCTACTTCGTTTACCAAGAGGTGAAGTTCATCCGCGTTGAAGTTGGCTCGTCGCTTCGCCATGGTGGAACATGTGATTACAAAAAATTAAAGCCCCTTTATATATAGCATACAACCGCCCCCCCCCCCTGTACGTTCATTTTCATTTACATAGATTAGGCCTACACCCGACCAATCGAATGTTGATTGACAGAACTTGGGCGTGGTTCAGCTTCAAATCTTATGTCGAATTTCTGCTGCATATTTTGTCAAGTCCAGTGAAGTTATAAATTGATGAAATTTGGGCATGTATTAATTTTGTAGTTTGCATATGATACCGACCAATCACTGATTGATAGGGATGAATGTCTGATCTGAAAATGAAGAATTAGGAGACTTTCCGTACAGTGCCAGGTAGGGTAGATTTAATACATTAGTGGCACATACCTATACAGGGTAATAAGCGGGGCAGCGCCAGGAGCGTCACAACGTGACGGACATGTGCGCTATACAAGAAGCCACCATTATTATTATTATTTTTATTATTATACACCGGACATACTTTGTGAGATTTAATTCCCCGACGTATCCGTCTGGAAGTGAATTCCAGAGAGGACGCATGCGTTTCAACGCCATGAAGGTCAAAATTGCACCAATCTATAGCATATCTATATAGACATGGCAAGGGAAAAAAGGGGGGAGGGGCAATAATTCATTTTTCATATTCTCATAACGTCATATCACATTGTCACAGAAAATGGGATGTTCAATTACAGCAATAAGATATCGGAACATCAAACGTTCTAACTGAACAAGATTTATATGTTACCCTTTTCCCATTCATATTGCATTATTATCATGTGTGTATGTGTGTGGGGGTGGGAGCCCCCACCTTCCTTATGGCGACAGACTTTCCAAATACACAGCATATGAGGTGATAAAATTGGGCGTGTATTAATTTTGTAGTTTGCATATTATACCGACCAATCACTGATTGATAGGGATGAACGTCTGATCTGAAAATGAAGAATTAGGAGACTTTCCGTACAGTGCCAGGTAGGGTAGCTTTAATACATTAGTGGCACATAACTATACAGGGTAATAATCGGGCCACCATTATTATTATTATTATTATACACCGGACATACCATGTGAGATTTAAATTCCCCGACGTATCCGTCTGGAAGTGAATTCCACAGAGGACGCATGCGTTTCAATGTGACTTCCATAATTATCAAATAGGTCTAGTGGTATTAAAGGCCCACACTATGCTTGTGCACTTCTTTTTAAACCTTAAACTAACTTTGGTTCATCCAAAGTTTTCATAAAAATATTAATTACTCCATTAATTTAGTATGTACATGTACAAATATATTTTTGAATATTTAATAAACAGCGAAATCTCATTTTGATCTTTTAAATTAGGAGAAAACCCATGACAGAGAGTGAAGTTTAAAAGGACTTTTAGTTATATAGTGTCCCGAATCTCAGCGCAAAGTACATTTGTTTTTGAAATAGATGAATAAAACCGCCAAATGTCTTGTTTTAATAAAATGAGATACGAAAATCAGGAAACACAATCCTACTTTATTCAGTGTCAAAACTATTGCTACTGTACATGTACATTGCGCCGAAATTATTTCTAGGTAAATTTGAATTCCAAAATAATGTAGGTCTTTAAGTATACTGGATATATTATCTTTTGTCTGTATTCATCTAAATTGTGTGCCTATTGAATGGTTATCATGGAATGCATGACATACATTTCTTTGAGATGTATTTCCATATTGCTCCGCATGTGACTGGCTTGCATGTTTCGGTTTATTTTGTGTTTTGTTGGTGGGGGTGGGGGTGCACATAGGCATAGCAGTGTGGGCGGTGCCTGAATATTTAACAAGCACGTATTTTCTTGTCGTGATTATTCTGTTGACGTGCAATGTTAATGAGGGAAAGACACCGGGGATGATATCCCCGCCCCCTCTCCAACCAATGATAGAAAAATAATTAAAAATGTATGTTGTCCGTGCAACGATATACTCATGATAATGTTACAATCAACACAATAATGAGATAGATGTATGTATAATAATTGCTCTCACATATACTCAGACATATTAAATACTTCCAAGCCTGATTTTATTTAAGAAAGTCGTAGTTTTATTTTGTTTGAAACTTGCATCCTCTTTTAGCCTAAACATAACATGCCCCTTTTTAATCATTCACTACCAGTTTGAATTCTTTAGTTTGCTTGAATTAATGATTTTAGCTCCTCCCTTTGCGGATGTTTACGAGTGCTAAATATTCCAGACAGAGCGTTGAATTAATTAATTAAGTCATGAAAGTCATACATTAAAAAAATATCACGTTTATATTAAATCAGCAATGGTGGCTATAAAATAACGACTATCGCAGGTTTTTTAACCTTCTGCTCATTCGTTGACTGTCTCTATATATTTGAAGGTTGTATATTCAGAGTAGTCCTATCTTAAGGAAAATGGCTGCAATTCTGCAAGCACGCCGCAATGACATGCGAAGGCAACGAATATTCCGTGATCGAACGTGTCCTCTAGATATATACGATGACCAAGAACTCATCGCTAGATATAGACTTCCAAGACATCTGATCCTCGAACTTTGTGGTCTGCTCGATGATGACATCAAACGTCAGACTCGACGTTCGATGGCATTACCTGTGGCTTTGCAAGTAAGTATGTCTGTTGTGTTTGTATGTTTAAAAAATATATATAATTATATATTGATAATACAGGACTGGGGTGGGGAACGTCTGATCAAGATAGAACCGTTATTATTAATATTACTGTTAGTAATATGTTCCGCGCCTAGAAACAAAGTATTAGGCGCATTATAAAATAATGTGAGCTATTATCATTATTATCATTAGTGTTAATTTTGTTTTTATTCTAGGTTCCAATGGCACTGCGTTTCTATGCAACTGGGAGTTTTTATGCAGTGACGGGAGACCTCCAGGGCGTAAGCAAAGCTTCAGTGAGCAGAGTAGTGAGAGATATTTCAAGAGTGCTAGTCAGAGAGGCCAGCAACTACATCGTCTTTCCACGTGACAGGGCTTCCCTGCTTCAGGTCAAGAGAGGTTTTACCGACATGTGTGGCATTCCTAATACACTGGGTGCCGTTGACTGTACTCATGTCCGCATTCGCTCACCTTCGATAGATGAACATCTCTTCGTCAATAGAAAGGGCTACCATTCCATCAATATTCAGTGCATTTGTGATTCGCAAATGAAGTTCTTAAACGTTCTTGCCCGCTTCCCGGGTTCTAGCCACGACTCCTACATCTGGGCGAACTCGGGGATTTGTAGAAGGTTTGAAGATGTACCTGTGCAAGGCCACCTACTAGGTGATAGCGGGTACCCTCTCAGACCGTTTCTTCTAACTCCTCTCCTTAACCCGACCACAAGACCAGAAGAGAGATACAATCAAAGCCACAAAAGAGGTCGTTCGGTAATCGAGAGATCTTTCGGAGTGCTGAAGTCTCGTTTCAGATGTATAGACGTGTCTGGGGGTGGCCTTCAGTTTTCGCCAGAGCGTGTGTGCCACATTTTTGTGGCGGTAGCTGTGCTCCACAATATCTGTGTGACCAACAACCTGCCATACGACGAACCTATTGTGCCACACTTGGACGACAACAATCATGACGACGTTCATGCAGAGATTGCTGGCGATGGCAGACGAACCCGCAATAACCTCATCGAGCAACTCTATGGTGGACGCGATTAGTTATAACTTTGAAATCCCACATTATATAATAGTAATGATCAACAAAGAAAATGTTGTGCATTTATGAATATCATGACTAGGCACAAGTGAATAAATGTTTGGATTTCAGAGAAATTATTATTCTTCGCATTTTCTTTCGCATTTTCTTGAGGGTGCATGGTAGCTTCAACAGGATAGTGAAGTACGTCGAGTACAGATAGAAAGATGAGAGAGAGAGAGAATGGGCATAGAGTTACATATAGAACGAAAATTGTAACAGATCGAGTGTTTGAGTGAGAGAGAGAGGGGGAGAGAGAAAGAGAGACAGACAGACAGACAGATAGTGACAGATGAGAGATATTAATTGTAAGGGGGAGAATTGACGGAGAGAGAGAGAGAGAGAGAGAGAGAGGGGGGGGAGCGAGAGAGATGGATTAGAAATTATTAGTGAACATATTTTTCGAAGAATGTCACTTGATTTTTTTCTTTTGCCTATAAAGGTCGGAAACAAAGTTTTGTTTAGTCTTTATTTGAAATTACTGCACAATCATCGCTCCATAACGATATGATTTATTTTTGATAGATCTGAGTAGATATAAACTTTTTCTATCAATAATAAATCATATTTTCACACAATCCCTCATGAAAAGCCGTAGGAACAATTTGTTTCAACTTTATAGACAACATAATAGAAATACAATAAACCTAATTAAAGATAACAAAATAAATTTATTTAGACATTTTCAACGGTTTTTATTTATAAACATGCAAGTCGTAAAATTAAGCAGCATATCGAAAAAAAAAAAAAAAACTACACAGCCAATCGAAATGCAAACATTAGGATGGCCTGTTTTTGTTATTAGTTAAACATGTATGATCAAAATCTGCATTGTAGGTTTTTGAAATATAGAGGAATCATTTAAAAAATATTATCATCCATTTAGCCTACACGAACAGGGCTAATTCGGTTCCACCCCCCTCCCCAAAATGAATAAAAACAGATAGCCAATAAAATATGACCAATAAGGCCCTAAGGCAATGAGGAGGTCACCTATCGAATATTATTGGAACTAGAATGACAGACAAGTGAATAGCATGAGCCTCGTGGTAGATCAATGCTAAGTGATTCATGCTTTATACAGAAGGAGCATCCTTATTGAGAATTACGTATCAAACTTGTATATGTTTTTCTCAAAATGATATTGAACTATTGAATCGTACATTTCGCGGCCCATAGAACGGCGACAAACTGACTTGTGGTGGCGCTTTACAGCAATTAAAAAAGATATGACGGGTTCGGAGCAGTGACAACTCATTGTCGCGGAAGTTGTCGCTCATCTTGGCAAAGACGGCTTCGTGAAACACTTAGCTGACAAGTTGCGTGACAGTGGCGAGATGTCGTTGATCTTGTAGTTATGACGGTTTCGAGAAACGGCCCCCTGGTAACTTTTGATTATCACCATATAAAAATGGAATAACCAAATGTCGATGCAAATTGGTACATGTTAAATAGAAGGTAAGTACCTGTCATAGAATTTATTTGAAGAAAACATTATACATACATATTGTAATGACACCGAAGGACAGACGAGTACATGTAGATACACATCTAGATCTACTACTAATTACGCTTGTGCTCAACAAGTCTTTTTGTTCAAACAAACTACATGTAAAATTAACAGTTAATCACAGCTTTTTAACAGAAACATTAAAAAGACAGTCACAGACATCATGTACATACCGTTTTGGTTAATGATTTACTCTTTTTTATCCATAATTTACGTGAAACTGTTTCTCATGAAATGTAAAAATCTTTGAAAAATCCAATGACAAGCAATGTCCCTCATAATTTTTGAATGAATTTGTATCAAACTATCATTATTTAGAGACAGACATTTTGTGTTGGTTGCATATTTTGTTTAGTCAAAATCATGCAGACAAGCACTACATAGACGTGGGCATTCCGGCCATACAATTTGACCAAGTTGACAAAGCAAAGCCAGATTTTTTTGACAAGTTTAAATAGCAATGTAAGGCGCCCTCGTTAAATAAAAAAAGATATTGGAATCGCTTATGAAATGACTAGTTCATCAGACAAGACCATTGAACACCACTCAGACTGACTAAAACAGACTAGACTAGAATCACAATAACAATGATGACAGTTTTACAATTCAAAGTCTCTCACTATCACACTCTTCCAAATTTCCAATCAGTTTGTCGTCTCCACCGGCCGCCCCAGTCCCTTCGCCAGGACGTATCACTGCCGCAGCAGCAGCAGCGCAGTGCCTGTGAAAAGGGCAGGACGTACGTCGGGACATCTCCAGAATTAACTTCGATCTAGGCCTAGTCAACTCTAATTTACTTCATGTTTTGTGAGAACTGATTTTATACAAAGATTATCATAGTCATGATTATAGTGTTATCTAAAGTAAATTAACAAATAAACTCGGATAGAATTAACTTGAGAACTGTGACTTACCATTTCTATTCGTCCTGTTTAGCTTCGATTTTTATCAAACGTGGCATAAGCAATACACGTATTAGATCTACACACAAGTTCCACACACTCAAGTTCCAACATCATCGCTTCTCTGTCGCTGAACTTTGGTCCTCGGAATTTACTTCCGGTTCCGCTGAAACATCATGTGAGCCGATCTAGCGTCCTTAGTTTCATGAATTCTGAGAGTTGAATTTTGCAGTTTTTGCATCCAAGAGAGAGAAATCAAAAGTAGCCACATTAGCTTCAAGTTGACTCAGACATTTTGGTAATGTAATCGTTGGAATATGATTGTGAATGTGAGAATACTGTCGAGTCGACGTCGTGAATTATAGGAGTGGAATTTCAATTGATTGACATTCATTCATTGCATTGCACTGTCATTGAGTCATGTTTGCTATTTGTTGATTGTTGTAAAAAAATGATAGAACCTAGATCTAGACCTAGACTATACTCATCTAATTGTTATGGGGTTACTTAAAACTGTTTAAACATGCATTAAGAATATTATATTTGATCCTGGCCATGATTGTGTTATGTATTAAGCCGCTAATTGTGCAACCAGTCCATATCCACAGAAAATGAAAACAATTCATGATGATTTTGCCATCAACATGATAAGTGCATTCATTAATTTACCCTTCATTATAGTCTTGACTCACTCTTATGTAGTCAACTCTTACAGGGGGTCAATATTTATGATGTTGAGTGCTACTTGATGCATACATTTTTTTTTTAAATCAAAAGGAAAGGCAAAAGTGAAACCTTTACTTTTCATGTTTTTGTTTAGACCGAAAGCGTCTCTGATATCAACTGTTGTTCCGCTGAGATTGCATCTGGCTTCTCTGACCGCCTCTATGGGAATGTTGACAAATGTCAGTTTTATTAAAGAATGACCAGATGGTTATTACTGTCTAGTTTTTGTTGAGCGTCCGGACACTCGGGTGTCTCATCCCCCTCCCCCATCAACATTCATCATGATTAAGATTTTTTATGTTGCTGTTGGATCTAAGGCCCAATTGGTTCTAGAAAATATCTTAACAATTAACATAGACTGTCTTCACAAACTATGGTATTGGCTATTGATTGAAGGTCTAGTTTAACAAGTTATTTGTTTTTTATTTTTTTCTGCTAGAAGAAATTGAATTAATTAAACCATGGAAGAAAGAAACATGCCAGGCTGACCTCCCTTCTAAGTGCCATATAAATAGGCAAGTTGATTTCAAACATGCACATGACTACACATGGACAAATCAGAGGAGAAGGAGAAAAGGAGAAGAAGAAGATGTTAAAGAAGAAGAAATTCATCCACCTCTTTATATGACATTTTTTGCTCAGCTCCAAGATTATTGCAAACTTAAAATCATTATAGCTCAATATTTTACCGATGTCTCCATTCTACGAATTAATTTTTCAGATCGTTCATGGTAGATTGAGAGCAGTTCATCATGGCATTGACCAACCTGATCCCAGCTCGTTTCTTGTGCCTCATAGCTCACCTTGTTATCACTGTCACTCTCATCTGGTCGAGGGTAGGTCAAACTTCGGAGCTGTCGTAGATGTAGGAAGGGATTTTCTTAGGGGGGGGGGGAGGGGTGAGGATCATTCAAAGGAAGAAAAAAACCTCCATTGAACAACATCCCTGAAATTTTCTGAATTTGCTCTATTCTTGGTCCTGATTATCGAGGTGGGATGGCGTTGATTAATAAATCGTTGGCATTCGAGAGAGAGAAAGTATGTATGGTATTTAGTACCAGTACATTTTTTAATGGAGTTCCATAGTAAATTTTTAGTTGAGTCCCATATTTTTGAGTTGAGAAAAATTAAGAGGTTGTCAGAAAAATGAAGAAAAGTGTAAATAGACAGGACTCCATGATATCAAATTTTTAGAATGAACAGAGAGCTACGAATATCATTTCATAAGAGTTTCTGGCTTTTATACTGTATAACATTGAAGCTATTAATATAGTGTGAGATGAATTGCTTGCCTACTGAGGCTAGCCTAGAACAGTTTAAATTTGCTTACAAACTAACATGAATTACTTTGGTCATCTTGGTTGAACTTGAAGTGCTTTATTTTTTTCCTACAGAGGATTTACTTGTCCTTCCTATTTGATTCTTGTTGATTTTGTTCTTCTTCATAGGATGCCAATGTGCGAGCTTGTCTTTCTGAAACATATACAGACACAGAGTACAACTCAGCTGATGTGTCGTAAGTATAATACATGTATATCAAAAGATCATTGTTTCTTATATATGACCCTTTTTTTCTTCCATAACTCTCTTTTCCCATGTCAGATATTTGATAATGAACCTGCATTTAACCCCTAATATACATGTTTTGAAATTTTTAATTTTACAACATTTTGTCATATTTTGAATTAAGCAAATTATTTGAGTATTGTGTACTTTTCTAGTGAATTTTTGAATTTTGTTCCTCATAGTTTGGTTTTCAATAGGTAGACATGACATGTAAGAATTGTCCCAGTTACTATTTCATATTTCTTGTTTAAATATGTAAGCAAGCTGTATAAACATGCCAATGAATGAAAGAATAAATATATAGAAGATATTATCTTCATTTAAATTTTAAAAATTTCAAATGGGTTTGATTTTTGTGTGGAATAAGAACAACAGTAACAAGAGTTTTTATTGGTAAATTGGTATAAGACCAAATTTCATCGAAATCCATATTGTTTTGATCAGTTAAAAAACAACAACAAGACAAAACAGGAGCGGTGAGCAAATTACTCTTGTCAAAGCCAGAAAGAGCTCCCATTAAACCCAAAAGGATACTTTACAATGAAATTCATGTTTTCCTTTAAAGATATTTTATTTAAAAAATAATTTTTCATGACCGAACACAAGCTTAATAGTTTTCAGACCTGTAACTTATTTGTTTGTCCTTGATTTTTCTCTTTGTTTTTCTAGATTGATCATAGGTCTGTCTCTGAGTATTTTGTTCCTGGTCATTGAGATCATCGGCTTCATGTCAGGGGTCTCCATGTTCATTCATCCAGTGGGCCTCTTGTGTATCCTTTCTAAGAAAAAGTGCTGGACCTTTTTTCATACAACTTTCAGTCTGTAATAATTATCACGAGCTGCTGAAATAATTGCGTTTGATTGGCCACGGGAAATTTGATGTAGAACTGTGGCAAATGTAGTTGACAACAAGTTTTATGAACAGGGCCCTGAAATTTATTTAGGGTATGATGAGGGTTCTTATGTTTTATGTTCTTGTTTTTTTTTGTCTGAGCCATTAATGCTTGACAGCTACCCATTTTCAAGATGAAGCTATGTACACTCAGATAACTATCTTGGGGAAAATTGTATGAGGGGAAGTTTTACTGACATAATTTTTCTTGGGGTTTATTGTCCTGGGAGTTATTATCCTGGATGTCATTGTTCTAGGGATATTTATTATTCTGGGTGGTAGTTGACAGTCCAGAGGGTCGGTGTTCTAAAAATTAGCAATTCATATGTGAACTAGCTGCTTTTGAAAAATGAATCATAAAAGGAGAAGACTTCTGAACTACTTCATAAAAACACATAAACTAGTTTTCACATTCGCTCTGCATGTTTACTTGAAAATTTGCTTTATTCGTCGCACCTGTTAAATATTGAACAGAAAATATAGTACAGATATTTCCTTGTTTTATGCCTTCACTCTCATATTTTTTAACATCTAAATACTCCCCTCCCCCCCCCCCCCCCCCCAAAAAAAAATAATAATAATTGATGAACATTTTATTATTATAATTCATTGAAAATGATAAATGCTTCTAAGCATTTGCACAATTACTCCTAGAATGAATTGATAGGACCTTAACTCTGCACCATCACGTCAACCCTCAGCCACTGCCTGTCATGCGAGTGCAGCCATTGCTCTGTCCTTGTATCTGTTTGAGGAGTGGCCATGCTACATATTCTGGTACATCTTTGGCTTCTGCAGGTGAGTTGATCTGGACCCTGTTTCATAAAACTTGTTATCAATAACAAGTTACAAGCTACTGTTATAAGCTACTGAAATCATGGCATCTGATTGGCTGTGAGCAAACTTGATATCAATAACAAGTTACAAGCTACTGTTATAAGCTACTGAAATCAAGGCATCTGATTGGCTGAGAGCAAATTTGTCATAGAAATTTTGCATCTGTCATAGATAAAAAGTTTTATGAAATGGGCCCCTGGTGATATGCTTTAAAGGTCAAGATTTTAAAGAAATCTTATGGGGCGTTCCAAGAAAGTTGTGATTGATTGCAAGTTGCAAAACTTACAACTAATATAGTTTGCAATCGATTGCAACTCAACTTTCTTACAACGCCCGTGGCCCCACTAGTCTCCTAAATTTCCTAGGATTTTGTCAGGATTGAAGTTTTAACAATTGAATTAAGATCTAGCTTTTATTCTCCCCTTCTCTCTCTCTCTCTCTCTCTCTTACTAATGGGGCATTGCAAGCAAGTTTAGTTGCAATCAATTGTAAATTTGCAATTAATCGCAAGACTTACGCTTGATTTGGGGGATTAATTTGCAATCGATTGCAACTTTCTTGCAATGCCCCATAAGTGGTGTTATGGCCAATAGGGTGTACCAAAATGAGAATTGCAGTGCACACATGTGTGTTGAAAGGTTGTAGGATGACTGATAGATCTTCAAAGGTTTTTGGGGAAAAAGCTTCTTCTTCATATTGTTGCAAAAACATTCTTTCCATGCTCATTTGTGTCTATCTTTGTTTGTCACTTTCATTGTTCGCTCATCTCTTTTTTGTGATATACATGACTGTATCTCTGCTTTTGGAAAGTGTTATTATTCTCTAATTGAGTTTATTTGCTTTGTTTTTGTTTTATGTTTTGAATGGTCTTTAAAATGTTTTTTTTAAAATCACATCTAGAAAGATTCTTAATTTCTTTTTTTCTCACCCTTTCTTTGACAGTGCCTTTCCAGCTGTTGTTGAGATAGGAGTTTTGATAGCTGTGCTTGGCCTCAAGAAAGTCAGGTGATGATGTCACATGACTTCAGAAAGTCAGGTGATAACTGATAATCCCAACATATTATAGTGAATCAACTGCCAAAACTGACAAACATGAAAAAGGATGTCTCTAGATACAACTTTTTATGGAGGTTCTTATCACTGTGCCTAGACTGTAGAATGTCAGGTGATGATGTCACATGATCCCGGCTGTCATGTGATCATCCCACAACAAGATCATCGTGTCAACTGCCAAAACTGACACATTGGAAAAGAGATCTCTTTATCTAAGCTTTCCTTGGGAGTTTAACCGCTGTGTTTCAATTGGAGGAAGTCAAGTGATGATGTTTGCAAGCTCCTGGAAAGTAAGGTCATCATCACACTATGGGAGCATTGTATCAATTGCCTTAACTGGCATATGGGTGAAGAGATCTCAAGACCTAAGTTTGTCTGAGGAGTTTGATCGCAGGGCTTTGGTCGGAGATAGCCAGGTTATAACATCATGGCAAGCAAATGAAGAGGCCTCCTTCGCATCAACATGTAACTCTGATCTAATTGATGAGACTGTTCTATAGACGCGATGGCTATGTGGTAGAGCATTGGTCACATAACCTAGAGATCCTGGTTTGAAACCAAGTCAATGCGCTAGTGCCTTTTAGTAAGGCATTACTCTTTATTACCAAGTCCGTCGTCGTCGGTCCCCCGGTTGCTTACTTACATGTACATCCGACATCTTGTGGAGGAGTTTGTTGTTGAAATCCTCCATTCATTAGGTACTTCACATGAACTGCATTCATGAAACCATTTTTGCTTTTTCAGCCAAGAATTAAGTTATTGAAATTTGTTTACAATATATTGTAAAGCATAGTTGTGTTCATGGATTAAAACATTTAAAAACCTTTAATACAGAAAAATATGTGTTTTGAAACCCATTTTTTTTTTTTTTTTTAATTCTGTGTGATGTGCATGCAGAAATGTAATCAAGGACTTATATGGTTTTAGAAGACTTGCCAGCATGAGCTAAAGCTCCAGCATGGCTTTAGGCTTTGGCAAGTATATCCTCTTGCCAATGAAAAATGTGATTGAATGAGTCTGAAGAACATGTAATGAAGTGCCTTAATCCCTAAATCCTGGCAAAAAATTTGAATGACATATGTTATTGGACTCTGAATGTCTTTTGATTTCATCTTGAAACAGAAACGGGTATCTTCAACAAGTTGCTCCCATGAAACGATATCTCATGCCCAATTTAACAATGAAACAAATCATTTAAAGTTGACATTTCAGTTTTGAATGTTGCTGTACAATTTCTCAAAAACACTTGGTGGTATATAGGGCTTTATTCCTTGACTGTCAGTAAAGCACATAATCCATCATAAAATATTGTACCCTTTGAGAATAGTGGTTCTGGAGTGTATTTGTTCTGCAAGAACTGATTTTATTCTTACAAAAATTACAATGTATTTTCATGTCTTAATTGAATGTATATATTGAAATAATGAAACATCACTGCAAGGTACTATTAAATTAGCCAAATTATGCAAAAATTGCTTTTTCTGAATCGTTTATTTGTGTGTGTGTGTGTGTGTGTGTGTATCTAAGACATTTCAGTGTTTGCCAAAAGGAAATGTTGTGTGGATACTTTCTGAAGTTTGTAGTTTTAAAGCCCCACCGTCCTACTTGTAGCTACTTATACTTGTAGCTACTTATACTTGTAGCTATATATACCTCTATATAGAAAACTTCCCTGATCGGTGCCTGTTGGTCCCACATGATCCTCTTTTCTTATGTTAGTTGAGAGCTGAGCTGTCGGTGACCTCGCCGTGTGGTCTAATCCCTTCTGGCCCAGACTAAGTAGTGTTGACGGTCTTTAAAAGGAGTATCTTGCTGTCATTAATGATAATGATTATTATTGGTGATTATAATACTAATGATAATAATCATTATTGGTGATGATATTGTCTTACTGAGAATTTTGAATAGTACAGTGTACCTTTAAACTTCATTGTTTCCTCATTGAGGTTGGGGGGGGGGGCATCATCCTATCACACTATAATTTTGTTCGCTGAGAAATATGTTATTATTAGGCCATTTTCATAATGTATTCAAAATGATGTCTCTTTGAAAGTAATTTCATTCACTTGTTATGTATATTTGTATTTCAATAGTCAGAATGTGAATTGCATACATCAATTGTTGCTAGGTAGGACAAACATCGTGGCTTCCCCATACCTAGTAACACTTCATATATGCAATTTGCATTCCGACTGTTGAAATACGATTATTGTAATGTTGAATTAAATGATTTCAAACTAGGCTCTTAACAAAGACATGAATTAAATATTGATTTCATAACAAAAAATGGTGTGTTCATTCTTTTACATAGAGATAATGCCTTTCTGACCCAAACTTTATTTCTAATGATGTATTTTTTAAATGAAAGAGTTACAGAGGTGAGCATTAATGCAATCTTCCCATCCATATGGTCTGTTTGGAGCCACAAAGATGTACCTCCTGCTATTTTATACACAGAGTTAGCAACCCTGCGGCCCGAGACAGATGATATGTACTGTAGCTACAATTAAAAAATAAAACAAACAAATGACAATATAAGGAAACACAATAGACTGCTGTATGGATTCTTTTCAAACTTTTTTTATTTGTCTCCATCAAATTAAAAAAAAAAGGGAAACACTGCAAGGAAGACATAACAACTGTCCAATCGAATGATAAAAAGATCTACTCATCTAACTACATATACCTCACCGAACAAAACAGTGAGATAGAGAGAGAAAAAACTTGCACTAGGTGAACTGGCAGAGCCGTTCGTCATATATTCATCATTCATGATAATAACTAAAGAATAAATACTACAGTGGGAGGAAGAGGGATTGAAATCTATAATTCAAATTGTGATTAACTACAAATGATGTGAAGGATATCCTTTTTTTTTGGAAGGGGGGGGGGGGGAGGGGGGATTCCCCTGATCACAAAGGGTACAACAGTGGTATAATCGTCATGGGTCAAAGGTCGATTCAAAGAGGACAAAGTCACATGGGTGATATTAGAGGTCAGATACTATAAAGGGGTCATATACCTGAAGCTGGTTTATAGTACATCACATTTTCAAAATGTCACTTATTATTTCAAAACCGATGAATACACCGTACATTAAACCTCTACGTCCTGTCATCGCAGGGACTTCCCCGTCTAGAGGACGTACCCTTCCAACAAGTCTTTACACACGTTTCACAGCAAAAAAAATTGAGTCGATTATTAAATGAACAATAAAACAATCCACAATATGGCACTGCACCGTTTTCAAGAATTCCTGCCAAACACCATTCAAACAATATACAAAGCAATTGAGTGTCTTCAGGATTTTAAAAAACAAAACACTTTCATCATATTTAAAAAATTTCCTGGAGTTCTTCCAAACATCCATGGTGCCATTTTACCATTCAACTTTGATTCTTTACTACTCATACTTACTGGCACACACTAGTCAAAATTGGTGAAACAATATACATATCTCCTTTATAAAATACTTTATCTACAAATATCAACCAACATCAATACAGCATTTTCTGTGTATCATACAAAGTATTTGATTTTCCTCCCTCTCTTCCAAAAACAAACGAAAAAAAGGTAAAAATAGACAGTACTGTTACAACACAGGTACTAAATTAAAACTCAATAAACATTTCTTTTTGCACATTGAAACCCATATTCAGAATGATAGAAAATTGAATTAATTCTCTCTTTTTCCTTCAACATATCAAAATAAATGGCCAAAATAAATGCAGAACATATAATACTGTCAGATGAATGAATACATTATGTTGTCTCCTTTTTTGATAATAGTACAATCACATTGTTGTAAGTATTGCCCGTTTTTGCATGCAATCTGTATTTGCTTTTAGTAATGCGTCATGCACAATGACGATGGCCAGTTGTGCATTTTAAGCAAAAAATTCAACCAATTTCAATATGATTGATATATGCCAAAATTATGTTCTATATTATCTGGTCCATAATGCAATTTTTCAACAAATTACTCATTTAGAGAAACTCATATCTTCAGACAAGAGTTTAAAAGTTGTATTTGTGATGAGCTTGCAAATTAGAATTTAGTATACCAAAACCAGATCGTCTTCGTTCAGTTGCTGTAACTGCATATATCCACTGAAAAAAAAAGTCAGAGAAATTTTGACAAAATTACTCTCTTGGAATGCAGAATTCCTTTGCACATCAACCCAAAAAACAAAATCAACAGAAAATAACAACACACACACACAAACACAAAAAACAACAAATTATCATCACACTTTTGGCTAAACCTAAACAAATGAAGTATTCAAGAGGTCCAAACTGTCCGCGGCGCACGAATATCATCGAAAACCAGAAGAAAAAGAAACGTAAACAGGCATATTATCTATACACGCCAATAGGTACTTCTATATCTAGTCACACACTGTTTTGCATCATTATAATTATTTCACAAACTGTAATTCTGCACTACACGAGAGTGCCACAAGTAATAATATACATTTAAACAAGTCATATATGTTCATTTTTTCAAGAAACAAGCTGTACCTAAATAACAGCTTGAAGTCATTTCCAAATATAACATTTTCTCCTGATCAAGAAATCTCTGAATCAAATACAAACTAGAGCCTTACTTAGTCATGTATATATTACAGAACAACGAGATAGCAATCTTTGTATAAGTATTTCTTCTATAGACAGTTGATTTTCATGAGAAAAAATGATGAAAAAAGAATCCACACACCAAAAATGTTACTATGTTCACTCTTTCCACGAAATATAATTTATATACATTGACATTTATCATATATATGTAGGTATTGCTTTCTTAATTGTGATGTGTATTATATAAATGCCTATTAGAATATCAATATATCACAGCACATACACACATTCTTTCTACAAATTCCTGAAAAATACTTCACGTACGCGTACAGAGGTTGGAGACTAAAATTAGCATCATTCAAGTATGCCTACAAAATAAGAAGCAGCTAGCTAAACTCTAATGATGCCTCTAAGATTAACAAGATATGAACCCCATTTGGGATAGTTCGGAGAAACATCAATGTACTAAAGCGCAAAACATGGATATGGTATTCTAATATAACTACATTGACAGGGTGTTCCATTAAAACTAATTTACTACAGGTGCAAAAGATTGATAGGGTATTCTAATAAAACTACATTGCCAGGGTTTTCCATAAAACTGAATAAGTCGTAGTGCAAACATTTGATAGGGTATCCATTATATATGTAACCATATTGACTGGGTAATTCAATATAAGTATAAAGCAATGTTGTATTTCATGAAAAAGTGAGAAGGAGAAAATCTATGAAACCAAAGTTTGAACCAAATTGAGCAAAAAGGAAGAGCTATGGGTGTCACTGTAATACATAAGATGAAGACAATATTGAAGGAAAATGTCTATATATATTTGCATTTTGCATTATTCCACTACGTAACTTGGTACGACTGTTAAACTTCTTAATAGAAGTTTATTTCTAAAATACATTATGAAGAAAATAGAAAGTTACACATTACACAAATGACAGTTTTATCCGCAAGTTAAAAGACAAAATACATAAAAAATCTATGTTTCTTATTGCCACAGAGAAAGTAAACAAGTTCAAATATGTTCAAAGGAAGATGATGTGTAACAAATGGTAATTGAAAGGTTTAACGTAAATACAGGATTCGCCAATATTTGCAACGTTTAAATTGCCGGTGCTGATAATTTCAGAAAAGAGAAGACTTTAATTTTTCTTCAATTTAATGAAGATTTGATGAAATCAGAAGAAAATGCTTCTCAAATGCAGCTACTCAAAAACCCTTGAATTATCTAATCCCCTTTCAACAAAATTCCAGTATATTATTGCCTGATAGTAACTCAACTACAATATATTAACTTATTTTAATGATATAATATAAAACATTCTATTGAAAAAGATATGGAGACACAATGAGAAGATGGAAGAAAAAGGAGACAAAAGTATTTCAATTATGGAAGGACTATGATGAACTAAAACTTTTTTATAGACAAAAAAGGAAACTTGAGCTCGAGATCTGTTACAAGAGATTTCATGTATGTGTGTTTTCCAAAGGGAAAATTGCAATTATTTAAGTGTTCACACTTCACATTATTATAAAAGAGTAAAACATATCACCAGTAGGGTAAGGAAGATTTTGATTGTTAAACACTCTGCAAAGAAAACAGATGTGACAATACATCTGAAAGTAATTATACAGTTATTGGTTTTGTAGCCTTTTTTGTAAAACTGTTAATATTCATTTCCCAGGGTGGTATTGCCTAACATTTTTAACCCTGTAGTATACTTTCCATTTAATTACCAATTCCATTCCATTTCCCTTAAAAATAGAATTGATACAGAATTTTCATGACTGATGTATGACAAATTGTCATGTTGTATTGCTGTTGTCACTGTTTGCACTAGAAAAACGTCTCTTCAGAATTACATGCATATTAATATATAATGTGATTGTGGAGATAGATAACCTCTGAAAGAAGATGAAGCTAACATGTTAGATTTTGTTATTGCATACACTAAAAATAGGTTGGAAGAAAGTAATGTGAATTCCATTATGTTCAATAAGCTTTGAATATATATATATCTTCATCGTATATAATACCTTTGTAGAGGAACTGAGCCGTATAAGGTTATGAACAGCAAATCATGATTAATGCAAGTACTCTGTGTTGATATTTATGCAGATGCTTTCATATGTTTCAAAGATACTGTGGGAGGTTTATAATTTGGTCTTAAAGAGCCAGGGTGGCCTCAGTATAAATAATGCTCTATTTGAGGGCCTGCAATTATTACTACCCCAGCATTGCCATTTAATACACCTGGGTGCAGAGAGGCAAATGTGGGTAAAGCACCTTGTCCAAGGATGTAAGCACTGACCAAGGTTTGAACCCAGGACCTTTCATATGAGAGTCAATGGCCTTTGTTTATACACCATGGTGGTCCCATTTAATGTTCTAAATGGGTCACCTACAGAAAATGAAAAATCCTAAAATATCATCTCTTTGGGGTCATCAGAAATAGCTTTAATAAAAAACACTTGCCAAAACCACAACCATTTAAAGACCTGATCTACATTTCTTTCTGAATTCGGTTCTCTGATACAAGTGATGTTCATTTTTTCAATCAATTCATATATATATATATATATATATATATAGCATAACTTTATAGTGTTGTTTGATAAGAATTTTTATCCAAAGAAATATTTGCATTATTCAGCATAATGGAATTCACAGCTATGGTCTCAAATATACAGACACATTCACATTAGTAAACCCCATTTATATCTAACTACGATAAATACAAATCTGTTGATATATGATGTATGTTCACACGAACGTGTATAACTTGCTATACAGGAAGCCCGGGAAAGGTCATAAATATTTATATCTATAGCAATTCACTATTCACTCTAGTATACTTCAATACCACAATCTCACAGTCTCACAAAGTTATAGTATCTGTATCCTAATATAGAGTATAAATTCTATAAAACAGCTTCACAAGAATATAAATCAAACATCAGTTATATTTCACTATTTCACTTTAAGATAAATGACTAAATCTGCACATACATAAATTATTTAAATAAATACTAATAGTACGGTGAAACTCAATTCAAAGTAGGATGGACTGACTTAATTTAAATGAAATAATGATAATAATAATAATAATACATGTGCATTGCCTTTCCAGTAATATATAGTAATACTCTTGCACTGATGCCAGTAAATGGATGGATTAAAACAATTGTCAAATGGTCAAATATGAATACAAATACTGCAAAAATTGTCACAATTTCAAACATAATAAAAGTCTTGTCAAAGTGCATGATTATACATCGTAGGAGCTATGAAAGTAATTCCACAACTACGCGACTGTATGCTTAGTGATGTCATAATTGATTTCCCACATGAAAGGTGAATCGAATTTATGTAGCATTTCACCTATCGTGAAAATAAGTATGTACTTGGTAAATCTGCATGATATGAAAAATATGTAAACTTATTTTTTTCTAACAATATAAATTAAATGGTTCTTTGGTACATGTATATCCCTTGTTGACTTTCAAAAGTCAGTCACATCAATTTTTACCATCGTCCCTGTAGGAATTTCTGGTTACAACATATCTCCTGACATGTTGATAAAAACAGCTGCTATAGGGTGAAATAAAAGATTGCAAATCCGAGGTGCTGGGAAGATAGATATTTCAATAGATTTTACTCGGAAGCCGGGGGAAAATACAGCGGTGCTCTATCACTCATCGGTTTCACTCTTAAGTTTGTTGCCAACCTTAAAGAGATAATCTATACAGAGTATCAGGCGTCAAATGTATTGTAGAGAAGTAAATAGTTGAGGAACATTAGATTTCCTCCAACGCTCTCCCTAAAGACAATAACCTGAAGGAAAATCAAAGCACTGCATGACAAGAAAACTCACAAACCTTTTCCAACACAACAAAACACATTCTACGTCAAAATATTTTAGAGATACATATGTCAATTCAGTACGAAACTGGTTCATCCTCTGAAACATAGTTACCTCATCAAAGTATTGCTTTCTTATACACTTGTTGAATAGAACAAAAAGGAGCAGCAGCTCTCGCTCAGGGAGATGGAAGTATGAAGATTTTTCTTTTTTTTAGAGACGATGTTTGCGACTGTGTGAGTCCATCTGCGTCATGCCGATGACAGCCTGCATGCAGCCTTGACGAAGACAGTGGAAGTGGGAGTACTTCTGAGAATACTTGCAATCTGCAGTGATGCACGTCTCAGATGAAGTGAACTGCTTGAAGCCGGCAGCAGACACCGCTTCCGTTTTGGCGTGTTGCTTACGATGGATAGGCACCTTGCCGCTGTCGGTACAAATGAAAGGGCAACGTAAGCAGTGGAAGTGAGTGTTTTTGGCCGTGTACTCGCAATCGCTGCGGTCGCAACTGACCGAGGCCTTGAAGCGCTGGAAGTCATCCTGGATGATGCTGTCAACACGGTCATGGTGCTGGGCGTGCTTGTACATCATGGTCTTGCCGGCAAACTTGTAGTTGCATCCAGTGTGGCGGCAGTGGTAGTGAGTTGTGTTCATGGCGAACTGGCAGTTGTTCTCACCGCAATGGACGTTGCGCTCAAAGCGTTCAAACCTCTCCTGCATGGAAGAGTCCAGGGGGCCTCTCTTGTAGCGTTTGTACCCAGAGGGCGCCCCAGGATCTTCTTCGACCAACGTGAGAGGGCGCTTGTGAGGATTGGGAGGTGAAATCCTGGGAGGGGAGATGATAGAGGACTGGCGAATCTTCCATCGACCTAGCTGGAAGTTGGGCAGCACCTGAAGTCCAGTCGGTGGATTGTTCATCGGGTTTGACGTGCTTGGAGCCGGGTCTTCTGCATCCAGAGGTGCAATGGGCACGAGGAACTGATGTGAAGGCTTCGGGGAAGGCCCTCCCATGATGAGGCCGTTGGGTGTTGACAGTGAATGTGGAACGGCTAGGAGAGATGGCATTGAGCCTGGGGGTGGCGACAGGAACATGCTCTGGAGGGACCCCGGCGTGTTGATGGGCATTGCGTGTGACATCATGGCTATGGGACTTGAGGAAGTGGCAAGCTGGTGCAAAGGGCTAGAGCTTGCCAGGGACACCATGGTGGGGTGCATGTGGTAGGGACTAGGAGGTGAGGCGAGGGCCCCTGGGGGTGAGCTCATGTTGCCAGGTGGGGAGTGGTTGTTGAGAGGTAGAATAGGGAGAACTAGTTGCTGCGGTCCTGTTGGAGAGTTGTTGTTGGGGCGGTTGAAGAACTTGCCATAGATGCGGCGCATGTGCTTACGGCCGTGAGACTCCATCTGTTGAATCTGTATCATTATATTAGAGAGAGAGAAAGAGATGGAGAGAGAGAGAAAGAGAGAGAGAGAGATGGAGAGAGAGAGAGAGAGACATGGAGAGAGAGAGATGGAGAGAGAGAGAGAGAGAGAAAGCAAATTGCATGTTAACACAACCAAAAATGACAGTATGGTATTACATATACATAACTAATCTTTAAGCTTGGAAATATGATAAGAAAAATGATAAGAGTTCAATAATTCTATATGAAATATCACTTTTTTAAAGTATCTATCATTGTCATAGAAGAATTCAAAAGAAAATATTCTTCAGAATTCAAAATTAATCATAGCAAAGAAAAACAATATGGAACGACTTTAGTGATGTTACGTCATTTAACTATTTATGAACAGAGGTCTAAAGTCATATGACTGTCATACTGCCAAACCGACTCCCAACCGACTCCAAAATGACTCTAAATTGACAAAGGAAATCAACAACATCTTGGCCATTCAAGGTAGTACAATAATTCACTCTATCCAGTGTGGGTCTGGGAGGTGTTTCACAAAGATCCTAAGTTGAACTTATCTCTAAGTTGGCCTTAACAATTATGGAAAGCCGTTAGCATCTATGAAAAATATTTTCTAACAGTTATTTTAAAAGGCATCAAATGTTGTTTCAAATCATTCACATTTTCCGTTTTCACGTTTTACCATACACGTTTTCCCCAATAGACTGTAGTGTTATGAAAACCGTTTGGCAAATGCAAAATTTGATTTTGATTTTCAATCATACATATCTTGATAATCAGACAGGCGATCGGTTTGTAAAAGTCATGGGGTTCCTGACTGACCTGAAGGTTTATAATTATCATTGCAGCATGAGCAAAATCAAGGATTCTTTTAAAGGATCTAAGACAAAGTTCCAGGTAAGTCCTACTCAGAGTTAAGTTTGATTTAGGATCTTTGTGAAACACCCTCTAGGTGTCAGTCTTGTCTGCGTGACTGGAGTAAAGAAAGAAGCCAATGCTCACCTGCAGGAAAGAGAACTGGCATCCCTGGTGCATGCAATGGTAGTGCTTGTGCAGCAGGTTGTACTTGCAGCCTGGACGCCGGCAGTCCAACTTGCGGCTGAACTGGCGGAAGCTGTCGAAGATGAGCTTCTCGTTGCTCTTGTGGTCGTGCAGCATGTCGGGGCTCTCGGTGGCGAAGTTGCACTCCGATCGGGTGCAGTGGAAGTGCTTCTGCCCGACCAGAGGACACTCTGTCTTGGAGCACTTCCCTGGGTCCACCTTGCAGTAGCCGTTGTCGTTGGCTTGGGCGGGGGGAGGTGCGGTGAACCACTTCATCTGCAACATCAAAGACAACAATTGCCGTCATTCAAAGAGGCAGTAGAATTTCATAATACAGTCAAACCTGCTTTAGTGACCCCCTGTCTACAAAGACCACTTTTTGTGTGTCCCTTGGGCGGTCGCTGTAGACAGGTTTGACTGTACCACATACATATTTCCCTGTATGGAGCTGATGCTTGGACATGAAATATTGAACCTAAACACAGTTTTCTATTTATTACCAGGTTCACAAAAAAAATTATACGTGATGCGCATCGCAGTGTTGCCAATTTATGGCATGAGCAAGGATCCCGTTTACTAGATAATTTCTGCTATAGAGCTAATGGAAAATCAACAACAACATCAAAAATCATTGTCACTATAGTTTCCTCTGTCTCCGAGACCTCTGCCATTGCAAACCCAGAACCAGTGTAAGAGTGTACAGAAACTATACGTGTATAATTACAATAGCCTTTGGGTGAACTTGAAATAAAATGACAGAAAAGGTTATCTAATGACTAAATTTACCATGAAACAACTGAACAATAGTAAGTTTAAAGCCTCACTGCACTACTGGTAGCTACTTGCTCCCTCTATATAGAATTTAGTGCTTAAGCGGTGCCTGTTGATCCCCCATGATCCTCTTTTTGTTATGTGAATTGAGAGCTGATTTGATGAGATAACCACCTGTCAGTGACCATGCAGGGTGGTCTTATCCCTCCTGTAAACTAGTACAGATGGGCTTTAAATGTCATGACCAAACTCACTGTTTGGTCCTTGAGTACCACTTTTGGGGGTTGAGTCTGGTCGATGGGAGCACCTACGAATGCAGGTTTATCGGTGTCGCTATGTCGGATGGATTCAAGCTCTGGATTCTGATGATGCTTCTCGTAGTGAGGCTTCATCAAGCTGCTGCCTGTATGGACCACCTCTCCACAGTAGTTTCCGGTTTCAAGCTCTGCAGAGGAGGAGAAGAAGATTATTGATGAGTGTTTTCAAAATAATTGTATCTCTTCCAATGCTAGTTAAAGATAAAGTTGAGTTCTGGTCATGGAATTGCATTGTGAAAGAAACGTTGTGGAATCGATCAACAGGGGTTGACCATCTAGCAATATGAGTATTGGTGTGTACTGCAAGGTGCTGTAATCATCAAAATGATAACAAATTTGGCCCAGTCTTGGTCAAGTTACAAGCTCTGTACACAGAAAGATGCATATGGGACTACACAAATGGTGTCGGGGCTACTAACCTTGATTTCCTTATCTTTCTATGCTCATTACTCAGCAAGTATACATTTTCTACCAAAATTGTTTGGCAAATGATATTTATTTGTAATCTGGAAAATTCAGTGTAAGTTTTGTTTGATTCTGTGAGAATTTTCTTTTTTTAACCAGAACTCAAGTTTATCTTTAACCTACAAACGTTTGGTCAATTTCTGTGGTTGGGCAATCTAAAGTTGCTCCAAGAACTAACCGACTGCATTGAATAGAGTTGAGCAGAGTTGAACAGAGCTGAAGCTGTGACTTACCCACATACAGTGGTAGTGTGCCAGGGGGCTGAATGGACAACCCTTGAAGGTATTCTCACACGTCTGGCCATGCTGGTAGTAATGAAAGTCAAGCTCTTCAGCCTCGTCGCTCATCAGATGATACCTGTCGTCGAAAGCAACACGGTGATGTGAGGGATTATTAAAATGAAATGACTGAACAGAACATGCATTGCCTTTCAACATTCATTAAAGGGACCCATTAAATGTCCCATTTGCAGGCCAAAAAAATGAAAAAGTTAAATTCCAACTGCATTTGAAAGATAATACTAATTTAGAACTTCCCTAAAAAAGGCGGGGCTTGAAAATGTCCTCAAGTGGGAAAATAACGACTATTAGTTGTCAAATCGACTTTAGGGCTATAGAGCCCAAAAGTAATAGTCTTGATTTTCAGACAATTGTACCGAATGGTCATATGTTTTATGCTGCGCAAAGATTCAATCAGTTTAATCTTGGCCATCACAAGAAGTGGGTTATTGATGTAGACAAATACTCATGTACCCTTTACAACTCTTTTCATGTATGTTATTACCAAAGAAGAAAAAAAGCCAGTCAGTCACTCAATAGTGTCTGACAGTGAAGTCTAGCAAGTAAACGGTTTTCCTTGCATAATTTGAATATGAGGACACTGCTAATGTTTAAATTTCACAGATAGGACATATATGACATATTCATAATTCCTGCAAAGTTCTACAGCATTTGAGGTTGGCTGCAAAAGGGACATAGTACCTTTAAAGAAGTTATAAGATGATGATGTGGATCCTAATCAAATGATTGGTTGAGAACGTATAGTGACCAGGCATTTATTTTGCCTAACACATAATTTTGATAATGACCGGTCATTATCAAATGCTAATGACCGGTCATTAGTAAAATCATGTTATAAAACATCATTTTATAAAACAAATAAACCATAATATCATAAAACAAATAGTACACATCATTTTGTTCGGGCATTATTAAAATTACTCACACTCGATACCTTCACACAGTCCAAACACCCTCGGCTATCGCCTTGTTTGGGTAATTCTTACTAATGCCCTCACTGCTGTGAATTATTTGTATAATAGTCACTTTTACTACTACACTTATTGCTACATTGTTACATACCTTGTATGCTTGTTGACGCCCTCTTTTGACCTGAAGTACTCTCCGCATCCTTCCACTACACAGTGATAGTGACCCTTGTACAGCAGCTCACAGGCAGAGTGACAGTGGTCATTGGCAGTGTACCTAGATAGGAAGTAGTGACAATACACAGGGATGCCAGTTAGAATTGATCAGAGGGCCTGAAAATAACCTAGAATGAGCTACTTTGTTCACAAAAAAGCCTGAATTATGGTCTGAAAATAACTCACCAGGGCCTGAATTCAGGCTATTGCCTGAAAACTGGCATCTTAGTTGGATTAAAACATGATGAAATAGTTTTTTAACAATTATTTTAATTTCATGTTGACCATATCAACACTAAAATGATGTCAAGATGATCAAACTACCAATTACAATATTTTTCAACAACAAAAAAATGTGCTGAAAATGAGAAAACCAAGGTAATAGGATTGAAACATGCATAAAATAGTAATTTTTCCAAACATGTATTCTTGAGAGAAACTAGATGGAACTTCGACTGCGCGCAGTCGAAAATGATGCCTCCGTCATAGAGCAATTTTACAAACCAAAACAGAAGAAATTTTTGAAATTCAAGTTCAATTGTAATCCATTAAGAGGTTCTCAGAATATCGTGATTACAAGCAATTTCTCATATACATATATGACCCTTTGATCTTTGACCTGATGACCCTAAAATCTACTCAGTTCATTGGCTCTGCAAGATGTCCTGAGTTAAATAGTAATCCATCTGTCAGTTCTAATGAGAATGCGTTCACAAGTTATTTTTGGATACATAATGAGCCCATGACCTTTGACCTCATGACCCATGAATCTACTCAGTTCATTGGCTCTGCAAGATACATACATGATCGAAATTTGGCAGGAATCCATCAATCTGTTCTAATGAGAATGCGATCAGAAGCTATTTTTGCATACATAATGAGCCCTGTGACCTTTGACCTTTGACCTCGTGACCCCAAAATCTATTCAGTTCATCGGCTCTGCAAGATACATACATGACCAAAGTTTGGCAGGAATCCATCGATCGGTTCTTGAGATAATGCGATCACGAGCTCTTTTTGCATACCTAATGAGCCCTGTGACCTGTGACCTTTGACCTTGTGACCCCAAAATCAAATCAGTTCATCGGCTCTGCAAGATACATACAAGACCAAAGTTTGGCAGGAATCCATCTATCGGTTCTTCAGATAACGCGATCACGAGCTGTTTTTGCATACATAATGAGCCCTGTGACCTTTGACCTTTGACCTCGTGACCCCAAAATCTAATCAGTTCATCGGCTCTGCAAGTAACATACATGACCAAAGTTTGGCAGGAATCCATCAATCGGTTCTTCAGATAACGCGATCACGAGAACGGGACGTACGGACGGACGGACGGACGTACGGACGTACGGACGGACGGACGGACAACCCGAAAACATAATGCCTCCGGCTACTTCGTAACGGAGGCATAATTAAAAGTATAAATGCAACAAATGTGTGATTTCAAAATTCCTAATACAAGTGAGTACAAGCTATTGTTTTTATAGTCTGGTGACAGTCAATGGAGTCTTTACTTTCAGTTTTATAAGTGTATTTTTTACCACCCTCAACTCACCTTCTGAAGTACTTTTGCCAGGCCTCTTGGTCCTGCCTCATCTCTCCATCTCTCGGCTCTTTCTTGATAGTGATAGGGCTGACCCGGGGCTCTTCCTCCCTCTCCAATCTCTCCCCCTCTTCCTCCCCCTCCCCCGCCATTTCTGCCATCTGGCACGGGGGCGAGATGAAGGAGGCGATGGGAAGGTTGAGGGAGTCGTTGAGGTCCTCTCCCTCCTTGCTCTTGTTGTTGTCCATCTCGGCTATCTTGGCAAAGCCGGAGGGTAGCTCGTCATCCTCTTCATCGTCTTCCATTCTCTCCACCTACACACAAGAATGTTTAATGAGTTGGTTAGTCATTGCGGAGACGGGGAGTTCAAACAAAACTGGCTATGAAGTTGAACCTATCGTTATGAATTCGTTCATAGTGTTTTTCTTGTTAAAACACAAATGAATTTAGCAGACATGCATTTTTAATATTAGTCTTAGAGCATCCTCATCATCATCTTCCATTCTCTCCACCTATACAAAAGAATGTTTAATGAGTTGGATAGTCATTTCTGAGAGTTCAAACACAACTGGCTATGAAGTTGAACCTTTTGTTATAAATTAATTCATAGTGTTTTTTATCTACTTAAAACATAAATGAATTTAGCAGACATTCATTTTTAGTACTAGTTTTAGAGCAAGAACTTTCTCTAGATTTCTGATGGTTTACATTTTTTATATTGTACAAGGGCTTGAACAGAACAGACGATAGGGGCAATGACAGTTATTTATAATCTGGGCCCTGTAACACATGTATAAACTGACTTACAATCAACCCCAGAAACATGGTATGTTCAATTCATTTTCATTTTATCATACCATGTATTGTATATATCTGTAATATCAAATTAATTGTAAGATATTATTTATTGTACTTAATTTAAAGGTAAAGACCAGTAATGGTCATGCGATTGCATTGTGAAAGAAACGTTGTGGAATCGATCGGAAAAGGTTGATCATCTAGCATCTAGCATCTGCAAGGTTCTGGAATCATCAAAATGATAAGAAATTTGGCCCATTCTTCGTAAAGTTACAAGCACTATACACAGAAAGATGTATATGGGACTACCCTATATCTCTCACAGACCATGAGAGAAACAAATTTACCTAATATATGAATTAGTCGGCGGTTTCCCGGCAAATTTTTTATCATCATGTATTAGTCAAAACATATTCTTTCACATGATTGGTAATGAGAGCTTCCATTTCATTTTTTGAAATTGGGGCGTTTCCAATACTGGTCTTTACCTTTAAAATTGACTGAATGTGACACAATTAATTTGAAGGAGATATGATTAATTTTGGGGAGAGATACAATTAATTGTATTTTTTAAATGTTATAGCACAATGTTAAGAGATCTTTGAATCTACTAAATGAACGCTCCTACTTACCTGTGAATATGATTTGTCAGGCATGCTGAGGTCTGTGGGCCTATCCTCATCGTTAGAGTCAAGCTCTGCAGCTACCTGCTGCTGATAGCGGTACTTGTCATACATCTGAAGATCCATTGGTCTCTCGTCTCCACTCTCATCCGAAGAATGGTGTCCCTCTACCGTGGTTGCAGCAGCAGCGATTGTATTGGTGATGACCGACGTCGCAGAGAGGGAATCGGGCGTGGCCCTGTGGGTGTCCTGATGGTAGGACCGCACCGGGTCAAATGCACCGTGACCTGATGATGATGATGACTCCAGGGAGGAGCCGGTGTTTCCTGAGGCAGATGGGGCTGAGGTGATGACGGATGACTGGATGGCTTGGACGTCAGGGCGTGACGCAGAGTGGTTGGGTAGCGCCATCATCTGGCCGGCTAGAGGTGATGTCTGGCTGGCTCCCAGTGCGGCAGACTGACCCGCGAGGGCTGCACGCTCCGCTATGGATGCGGCGCCGGGGTCGGACTTGAAGATGATCGCGGGGCAAGGAGGCATGATGAGGGTCTTCTCGCCCATGGCCATCTGAGAGCTGTTGCCACCGTGGAGACTGCGGTAAGTCGGGTTGACGCGAGGGAGAGGCAGCTTCATCTTCGGACGGATGGAGCGCATGAAGTGACGACCTGTCTCGTACTCCATCATGCGATGGCGACGTTCGTGCTTGCGCTTGTGAGAGTGCATCTGATTGGCGGCCGTGAAGGTGAAGTTGCAGCCATTGCGTATGCAGTGGAAATGGTTGAGAGTATTGGAGTAACGACAACCGTCAAACTTGCAGGCCTGTATGCAAGAAGAACAAGAATACAAGTTATTTCTCATGCAAATCCTTCTTGGAAAATCTTGCACTGACTGGAAGAATCGAGGGGAGGAGGAGAAGGTAGCTAATGAGTAGCTTAAGGAGTGGGATTTCTGAAAGTGTAATTGATCTCCGGGAGAATGAATTACTTCATAGAATACGGGATAGAGAGTTGTGGCATTCCATGGTCGCCAACATCTCAGGACATGGCACGTACAGAGAGAGAGAATCCTTCTTGAAGTACCTTAGACCCTTCATAACTGAATAAAAGTTCTTGGTCACCCTACACTGCCTGAATTCTTAACTTCAACCCTGGACCAAAACACCAAACCTATATGTATCACCAAACCTAATCTAAAAACCAATAGTAAGCATAACCCTCACCCTATTTATTTGACAAAACATAGCCCCGAGCATGCCATTCATCCGCTTAGTAATCTATCAAGCCACGGCTTACCTCATGTTTGGAGAACTTCCTAAAGCCATCCTTCCTGTAGATATCATCCTTCATGTGAAACGTCTTGTGCTTCTCAATGTCGCACTTGTTCTTGAAGACAAAGTCGCATCCCGGACGTCGGCAATGGAAGTGGGTGGTTTTCTGCCCGTAGAAGCTGCACATGGGAAGCCCGCAGTCCTCGGTGGCGCGGAACCGCTGAAAGCCGTCGCTGAGGAGCGTGAAGTTCTTCTTGTGGAAGTTCTCGTGGGTGAGGACGTCGGAGGTGCTAGTGTACACCTTGTGGCACCCGTTCTGTAGAGAGATAACGATGTTTGACCCTTGCGTTACTCATGGTCAGATTCACAATTGGTCTGCTAAGAGCCAGAAGGACATTAACCAACTTTACTTAAAAAAAGAGTTAAATATTAACTCTTCAGGCTTTTAATAGTAAAATCTATATCATGGTGTACCGAATATATGATGTGTGTCGTGTGTGAAATTGTTCTTATCAAGTGTTTGCAAGAATATAAAATGTACAACTGTCTTTATGAAGTAGATACAAACCTTTAGAATTTGTTAAACCACGTTGATCAACTGATGTACCTATTGTAAAATGTAGTCTCCAAAATAATAAAACTCTATTCACCATAATTTTTTTTTTAGCATATGACATTTAGAGTATATATATAATTTTTTAAATCACGGAATAAAACGGTTCCCCAATATTTAATCCTCTATATTGTACATTATGTCAAATTCACACATCTATCTTTGATTAAATCATACATGTACGCATGAGTGAAAATGAATGTTTGTTTAAGCTATGTGCAAATTACAACTATACCATTCTATTAGGTACATGTAACAATTAAATCTAACATGCTATAATCAAGATTAGGCCTATACACATGTACATGTATAAATGGAAGAGTTTTTTTTTTTTTTTGCTACTGAATTCATTTCTGCAAGCTATTGAAGAAAAAAAAAAGAGGAAAATTAATATTGTACATGCAGCTAATAAACAAGTAAACATAGATCTACATGAAGTCATGCATATGAGTTTGTCCAGCCAAACAAATGAAAGAAGTTTTTTTAATTTTTATACAGTTTTGGAAGCAAATATACAAACACGGGATAGAGAGTACTAATTTTTTTACAATGTGAAATACATTGCACATTAAATAATCAGAAATACAAATTGGTTGTACATGAAGTAATACAGTTAATCGGAGGAAACATATATTTCAGAGATGACATTGCCTTCAGAAAATGAGACATTATTACAAGTATATATTCATCTATTTCTCAATACTGCCAATTTGATCATCTTTCTTTATAACAAAAGTGCAATACACAATTCAATAGACGTTGTAACAAGCATGTTTCAACAAAATAGATATAACATGTGTGCTCTTTAGGCATACTAAGCATAGTAAACAATTTACTTTTGTTTGACTTGATTGATGAAATGGTACTTTGGCATCCTTTTGGACCCAAATAGAATGTTCAATTTTCATTTATGGTAAAATGTTTGGTATGTATATTTCATGCAGCGTGCATTTATGTACATATACCGTTATATTGAATGGGAAGCATGCATTTTAATTGAGTACCGGTACTAAACGTTGCATATCAATATGTATATGTACATGCAGATGCAAGTGTGCATTCCAGTTGAGCACTAAATCTACATAATTGACTGGCATTATTACCTACTTTACGATAGAAAATAAAAGAGGATGAATACAAAATTTGGAAAATAAAAAGAGACCCAGTCCCTTAAATTTGTACAAAAAATGTTAGATAAAGTTTGTTTCTTTAAAAGAAAAAAGGTTACTATAATGAAAGTAAAAATTTGCATGTATGTAGCAGTATAGCTCAAGCAAAAATAGGGAAAAATATTAAAGGTATGAAAAGCGCAGTAAATTAATTTGTTTGAAAACAGGGCGAAATCAAAACTTGTTCTGACATAAAAGTTTTATTCTCGACCTCACTCATATATAACTCATACAGGAACATGATTTTCAAACAGGTCTGGATATACCAGCTTCAAATCATCAAATTGGCATCAGTTAAAATCATCTTGTGCTTGAAATTCTGAAGACAAACTGCATTACATGTACCATTAACCTGTATGAATATCACTTACTTCTTGCAACAAACTTTGATAATTTGTACGTGAAAATTGTAATCTTACATGTCACTTTAAACCTCCCAATTCAAAGGCTGCAGTGTATGTCATTCTTAAAGTGTTGTACTGTAAGTTAGTATCTGCATTATGAACTGTTACAGTAGTAGATTTTTATTAATCTTTTCTGTTACTACTTACACTGTGTATGAGTTAAATTGACAACATTCTAGATCAACAGATAATGCAATAATGACACTAAAATTGATTCTGTATACTGATGTGTTAAATCTATGTACATGTATATCCTCCTTCCTCTCTAAATGTGGAATCTGTTGGATCTAAATCACAAGGTGAATTGGTTGACAGTCTAATATTACTAGAAGGCTATACGGCTCGATTACAAGGTACATGTAGATCAGTGGTTCTTAACTATAAAGGGGTCACAGCTGGTTTTCAGGGAATCACAAAAGGCTTACACATGGATATGAAAAAAGTCCATTTAGATTCCTTATACGTGTATATGTAATCTGTAATATTGGTAATTGCATTGTTTCACAAAAAGCTATTTTGGCCTTCTAACTAGCATGTAAGATTTCTTTTTTGTTTTTTTTCCCCCTCCAATATTGTTTCAGAGGTAAAGAGAGTGGCCAAGAATACCTGACGTGGGCCCAGGGGCAAACTTTGGGGAGGAGGAGGGGGGGGGGGGGGGGGGGTCAGATAGAAATAAGATAGGGTTGAAGGCAATTTTTGGACTATAAAGAGGTCTGAAAAAATCTCCAAATAAAAGAGCAACCACAAAAATATTACCAATAAAATAAAGCATAAATCTCTCAATTTGATAGGTTTTAATATCAGAACTTGAAAATGAGATTGAATTTTCTACCAGGGTTGGAGGAAAGGGGGGGGGGGGGGGGGGGTAGGAATAAAAAAGAAGGTCAAGAACCACTGGGAGGGAATACTATAGGGAACAAAAATGGTTGTACAAATTTACACCAGAGAACAGCATGCAACTTGTTCACATCATATACGACCACCACTCACGACACAGAATGAAATCACTGCACTACATGGACTCCAGCTACATGCCACCAAGTAAACTTTATTTCAAACAAAAACCCCAAAGAATAGAGAAATACAAACGTAGACAATCATTTTATAGGGTATGACTGACTGATCAAAACAAAAACATAACATTACAGCAATGGAACTAAAAAACAAAAAGATTCACTGCACGATTTCTGTAGACTAGCATGCCATGAGGTGTATTCTGTTTGTGCATCGTGTTGCAATGGACATCAAAAATGAAGGAGATGACATGAGACAAGCAATCGTCAATCAAGCAAAAACAAAATAAAAGAGAAAGAAATCAAACCAAATAAAAACAAAAACACGGCACTACAGGTACGCTCCACCAGTTTTCAGCAAGACGGCAAGCCATTTTTTGTGTTTTGTTTACCTGCATACAGTGATAATGTGTGTTCTTCATATTAAGAGTACAGCCGGGGTAGTAAGGCCGGCAATCGTCCGAAGGGCTGAAGCGCATGAACCCGTGCTGGAGGGAGTTGTCTCGGCGTTTGTGCCAGTTGTAGTGACGTATAACGTCCTCCTTGCGTGTGAACCTCTGTTGGATTATTACGAGTATGGAATAGTCTCTACAATAAGTTTGCTTCATCAATTAACCAATATTGTCCTGAGTTGTATAGAAATGACTACTTCAAGGTATCAAACAAGAAAAGAAAAAAAATAGGAAGAGGGAACAAAGTCCTCCTTCTCTGTCTCTCTCCTTCTCTCTGTCTCTGTCTCTCTCTCTGTCCTTGCCTCTGTCTCTCTCTGTCTGTCTGTCCTTTTCTCTCCCCCTCCCTCTCTGTCTCTCTCTCTTTCTTTCTCTCAAAGATATCTTACATTCCCCTATGAATATGCACAGATCCTTCACATAGATGTCTTTGGTATGAACTCATAATATTGAGGGGGAAAAAATGTATAGATCGACCCCAAGCGATATACATACAGAGGCTTAATTTCTTTAGAAATGTTAAAACTTTTTGTTCCTGATATTAGAAAGTAATTTTCCCAGTGCCTAAATATAATAAACAGACATTGTATTATGTCCCTTTCAGATAGGATGTTAATAAGAAAAAGTGTGATTTAAAAAGTGTCCATTATTAAACCCTGTTAGTATTGGAAGATTACATTTATTATTGAAAACAGAAGGAGAACATATTAATGTGTCAGAGCAGTCATTAGAGAGTACTACAAGTGGAGAAAAAAAAGTATAGGACAGACTCCCAGAATATGTTCATCTATTTAACATTGATTCTTCCCAATACATGAATAAATGCCCAACTTAATATGCTATTTTCCCTGATTTAACCCAATTAAAAATAAACATAATTGTATTAGCGTGCCATTAGCTGATATACATGTAATCAGACGCAAGAAGGGCATATGCAAGACTGTAAATACATGACTGAGTATAAACTGTCAAATCCCTCTACTAGGCAACCCATTAGGAATCCTTAAATGTGGATATACATGATGTATACTTGGTTTTATACATCCGGGGGGTGTTTCACAAAGATCCTAAGTAGAACTTAACACTAAGTTGGACTTAAAAATTATGGAAAGCCATTAGCATCTTTGAAAATATTTTGAAAAGTTATTTTGAAAGGCATTAATTGTTAATTCAAATCATTCATATTTTCTATCATCAAGGAGATTTCATGTTCTGGATGTGGAATTTATAAAAAGTCTAAAATACTTGAATTTCTGCTTTTGAATATATTTTATTTCAAGGCTACAAATGGTTCTCCATAATATTTAAGTCCAACTTAGAGTTAAGTTCTACTTAGGATCTTTGTGAAACACCCCCTGATCTTATTCATATAATTGCAGGATTTCTACAGCACAGTCAATTAGGATGAAAGAACAGTCAGGCTAGATTAGAAAGCAGCACAAATCAATTCCTAAAGAACAGGAGAGAGGGAGGGGGTTGAGAACAGAATTTGAAGTACTTCAATTTTATTTCGACAATTTTTTCCTCTTCTTTCTAAAGAATGCAAGTTAATACATTCCCTTTGGTCATACCAAGGCCATATTTCCTTAGTAATCCTGCAAATATTTTAGAAATATAAGCTATCAAAACATCAAAGTCCCGAGACAGAAAGGTTGCTAGGAGACAATTATTCAGCTTTTGCAAAGTAAAAGTCACCACTTAAACGCTTCTCTCTCTTGGACCACTTTGAATAGAACACCAAAATGAGGCATTCTACAATTATTCCGCAATGACAAACGTCTTGTTTCTTTTTTTTGCGAGTACTTAACAATTTTTCCAAATTCTGTCCTCATAAAGTTGATAAATGTATGGGATATAGAAAGGGGAGATGAGAGCTACTAAATGGGGGTTCTCCACACTTACAGCAAACTTGCAATCTTTGTCCAGGCAATGGTAGTGTTCCTTGAACTGGTAGGAGCAGCGACCGCAGTCCTGAGAAGCACCGAACCTGCACAGGGACGAAAGGAGAGGGGTGGGGGAGATGGGAAAAGAGAAATATTTCATCACTGAAGTGAAAATTTCTTTCAATTTTGAAGTTACCATGAGATGTAAAGTTTGGCTTCTAAAATGATTTTAGGCCACACACTAAGTTTGCTTTTTCTTGCTTTTAAATACAAAGTCTTATCAACATAAAATTATTATCTGCCTGATACCCAGTCTGCAAATGATAAACTTGTTTTATCAAATGTAAAAGATGACTTCATTACTGTGTCATTCCTCTTTCTGGCAAAAGAGGAAGACCAACTGCCATTATATAGAAAAATGTATTTTACTACTACTTATATCTTTACAATTATATTTCTATGATGTATGTCAGGGCCCCCGTCATACAAAGAGTTACAATTGATCCAAATCAATAGTAAGTCCTCAAATCAATCACAAGTGTGCAGTCTCCTATCTCTCGTACATATACATAGTTGTGATTGATAAGTTGTGATTGATATCAACTCTTTGTAAGACAGGGCCCAGATGTTGGATCTTCATTGACGTATTCAATCTCCAATACTCACTCTATTCTACCTCTAGATCTACTTTAATCATGCCATAAAGATCTTGTCATACCTGGCTATGTCATACCTGGCTATGTATCGATTGAAAGCACCACCTTCCAGTCCTGGACTAGACGACGTCGACAGAGTGCCTGACTTGATTCCCTTCTCGCTGCCCTCCTCTGAATCCAGATCACTCCTCCCAGTCTCTAGGAGGCACTTCTTGAGGATGTTGTCTCTGGGTTCGTACGACACGTTGTAATCGTCCATCCCAGCGAAGTCATCCCGTCTCTCCATCCTGGGGTCATCGATGGACGAGTCGTCCATACCTGGAGGCGGACTGATGGCCGATGTGCTAGAGTTGGAGGACGTCGACGCAACTCCGTCTCCGAGAGAATACCGGGGTACGACCTCCCCCTTGTTGAACTTGGACATGAAGTACTCGTAGTTGGAGCTCCGTTGGGGATCCAGGTGGAGCTGGGGGTCGGATGCGGAAGCTGCGGCGGCGGCGGCAGCAGCAGCAGCAGACGCAGCGGCCGCAAACTCCCTCTGTGCCAACCCCTCACTCTCAAGGATGGCGGCCTCTATGGCCTCTGCATCTACCCCTTCCTTGGAGCCGGCTTCACCCTCATGGCCACTGCCTCCCCCCTGCTTCAACTGGATCTGTTGGCTGATGATGTCCCTGATACGCTGGGAAGCACTCACCTTGCGGCCAATGATCTTGTTGATGGACTGGCCTGCCTTTAACTTGCGGATGTAGCTGTCGTACTTGGACACTCGCAGATTGGGTACATCTTTGGATATACTTTCACCTGTTAAAAAAATAATAATCAGACATGAACGTACAGTTTATTGCTAAGATCAACCACATATCATATTTCAGCTCCTTAAATCTGTTCCAACATCTTTTTCTATATTTTGAAAGTCTGATTATCAGGGGGGTGTGACACATGTGAATTAATCAAAATTACCCTATCCAACTCTTTTATGAAGAACATCACATACATGTAACTTTTAACCCAAAGGATAATCCATTCATTTCATTGAACGGACAATAAAGGTAAAATGTCTTGAGCTTCTACAAAAGTTATTCCATGTATAAACATAAGCCAGAGAAATCCTGGAAAAAAAAGACGGGTGGTAGTGCCAGAAGTCGAGCAAAGGCCTCAAAACTGTCATCCTTGCTTTCACGGATTAATAACATCACATGGGTGAAGAGAGTTAAGTGTAGATAAAGTGATTCCTTTACCTGCTTCTAGTTTCTGGATGAAGTAGTCATACTTGGAAAACCTTTTGGCTTCAGGTCGGTCTCCTAACTCCATGAGATTCCTCATAAACTCCTGTTCCTCTATCAACTGCTTCACGGTTTTCCCTGTCGCCATCCTTGAGTTTGTCATCTTTGCAGGAGAAACAACCACAAAGTAAAAAAATGAGCCATAATCCTTTTATTATCTGGGTTTATCTGGCATATTGAAGTGGATTGAAAAGTATAATCTATCAAAATATCACCACTGATTTATAGATTTCTTATTAAATGGCAATCAGAAAGGTAACCATTTGGCAAGGGATGGATACAGTCGGTGTTGAATCATAATGATGTTTTCTAAAGACATCGTCATCTTGCTAAATTGGTGACAAACAGAGTATATTCATGAGCTGTGATTGCACATTTTAATTCTATGTGAAAAGAAAAAAGTAATTATTTCTACAATATATTGAAACATAACCTTTTTTTGCCATAGAAAAAATATTATAATTCATCAAATACTGCATGTTAGTATTCTTGATCTTTGATGCATCCAAACTGCTGGCACAGAATTTGCTTTAGACCACCTACATGTATGCCACCAAATGCAGGCAATAGAGAAAAATATTGCCTGGCTAAATATTTTGATGGGCGCATTTTTGACAAATTTCCCTATCTGAGAATTTGAAATCAATGACACAAGACGATGGCAGAGATGCAGAGGGGGCAGGTGCATACCTTGCCCTCTAGATGGGCGGCCAAGACCCCTGGGTATGGAGGGGCACATAGCTCTGACATGTTTCCTTCTGCTGCAGCAGCTTCCCTCAGGGACTCCATATGCTCTCTCAACCCTGCATGCTGCTGGGAGGATGGGCTGTCCTGACGGGCGCGGTCGCGGTCATCACCACCCCTCCCCAGTGGATGATGACGGTGGTGGTGACGGTGTTGGTCCTGACCTTGATGGGGCGCATCGGACAGGTCGTGGCTGGATGCGGTGCCATTGTTATTGGCCAGGGCGGATTCTTCGGCACGTAGCTGCTGATGGAGGGCTGCGAGTTGCTGAAGGACAGCATGACTGGGCGCTACCCTTTGATGATCTGACTCCTTCAATATGGACGGGTCCTGTTAAATAGAAGAGAGAAATTGATAGCTTAGGCATTCCAAGTTTGAAGAGTGAACAATCAGCAACAAATATATAAATAGAATCCATTTAGACAATTTAAATGAGAACGTTAGAAAGGCCCACTTTAACAACATATGTATCTTTTCTAAACAGGGGTGGGCACCACATATTATGCCACATTTATTGCTGTCTAAGAAACATTTCCAGGCTAATTTGAATGTACAAATGGGAGACTTATTAGGTAAACAAGTATTTAACCAATACAGTCCTATTAAAATAATTTTAGATATCTAAATATTATTGATTGGGTAAGAGAAAAGATTATTTGGGTACATTTGGCCTCCTAAATAATGTTTTGGCAAGAAGAATTACAGCAAGTAACATTATTTTCTTTTTTCCAAGTGTATCGACACCCAACCCTAAAGCACAATGCTGTTGTTGTTTCCAGAGTAGTAATAATCCAGAGTCCCATCACCCAATGTCTACCTTAGGTTCGGTTCCACCCTCTGATGAAAGCTTCATGAATGCTGACGACCTGGGGTCTGAACCCAGGACCTTCTCATCCTCTGCTTCTGTCCTGTCTGCGGCCTGAGGGGCGATCCTCTGAGTCTGCTGCTGGTAGTGCTGGCGGGCCAGAGCCCTCTTCTTCTCTGCATGGCGTCTCTGTAACTCTAAGATGTGTCCTGTTCATGATAGAAAGTGATCAAATATAGAGTTTGGTTATTTGTTTGATTATGTGTTTGGTTATGTGCTTATGAGGTATGTGTATTCTATTGCATAGTCAAACCTAGACAATTTGATTAAAAGTACTTATTTAAAATAAGACAGGGTGTACTCTGCAAGTGATAGAAAGACATTTGTTAAATCAATTGCTGGGTAGCAGAATGGTATTAGAAAAATATCTGGTTTTATTAAAACTAAATTCCTTTTGGTTTTGTGCTGCTGGGCCGATGGGTAACTTGTATAACATCTGGGAAAAAATTGATTTCCTTTCCAAAATTTAATCAATTTTTTATCAAAGCCCGGGGTAAACTTTAAAATATATGTTTTGTCTTCATGTGTCCATACTGTATGTACCCTCATACATAAACAGACATCAGATTTAATTTGCTTATAAATGTATATATAATAAATGTCCACAATTTCTCAATCTTCCCTACTTAAACCAATTTGGTACCATTATCTTGGAAGCATTTTATCAAGTTGATCTTGTCCAATTTTACAGTTTTTAGAAGTTCATCATCATCATCATCATCATTAGTATCATCATCACCATCAATAACCTCAAAATCATAACGAAACACTCTATACATGTGTAATCACCATTTATATTCTCATCATATTAAAGCTATACCAAGCAACCCCCCCCCCCCCAAAAAAAAAAAAAAAAACAAAAAAAAAAAAAAAAAACAACAACAACAACAACACAACACAAAACTGAAGAAAAAAAGAAGAAAAAAATATATTCAGTCTCTCCAAATGCTTCCATTCATCTTTTACATCAAAGACAGCTTGATCTAACAGTTTACATAAAACTACCCTAGTCCAGGAAACAGGCAAGACATAAATCTGAAGTTCTGAACATCCTTATTACACTGTTTCACACCAGCAATAAGCATTTATAAATGGAAAATACAAGTAGAAAGACATATAGTCATTACAGTGTATGAATGACCTATATCTTTATATTCTTCCACTCCAGGATGAGGGGAGCTAATTAATTATCTTGCTCCCTCCTCTAAGAGAAACTGGATACCCTTAGAAAGTCAAAGTTAGGATGTACATGATGCCGGGGACGGCTACAGCCATCTATCCAAGACACTGTCCTTAAGCCCGATAATCTAATTACCCTAAAAGGCTCGGCGTAAGAATAGGGCTGTCAAACCTGCAAGATTGAAGGAGCAAAATTTGGTTTGATAAATGAAAATGGCAAAATTTGGCTCCGGGCTGCCTATATTAAATATTTGGATTTATTTTTGCAATGTGGGGGAATTAAATTGGATGGTCTCGTTTGCGGTGCATGTATACGCACGATGCGGTGGAATGTCGTAAGTGCCAACGCTGCATCCTGAGCCGCACCGATCCAGAGAACTATCATATCGAGAAGAAACACAAACATTTACGAAACCTTCAACGGCTAATATTTTTTTTCTCTCCCTTTTTTTTCTTGCTCCCTCTCCATTTACTGATCATTGAAAGAGACAAGTAGTTTAGCTTCCCTTATTGAATTGAGAGGGGTACAATTGGAATTGATTGCTTGTCGTAGGATGTTTTTATTTTGCCCCGTAATTTAGTCGCAATTGTTTTACTTTACAAATGTAATTACGCAGGAGGTAATAAAAGAGGGCAAATTCAATTAGAGGGCTGTGGCAAAATAGTCCTGTATTATCTTAAAGGTTGACCGAGCGCTGTTTATCCTACATGTAATGAAAAATAGACATTTATTGTTTTGATAAAATTTTACACAGCGTCATACTACATTATACAGGCACTGTCCCATCAAGGTAAAAAAAATTAAAAGAAGGAAAGAAAAAAAAAACGGCAGGAAAAAAAAGAGGCTCTGAAAATGGAATGTGCGGACTTGGGGGATTTCAATTAATTATAGGGTGGATATACAGTGTAATGCATCAAAGTCAACATGGGGAGTAAATAGTCATCAATTGAATAAAAGAATTTACATGACTATGCTCATCAGTCTGGCGAGGGATAACTACCCCATTCACAAATGTACATCTATCATGATCATGTTAATTTCTTGTGAAGACATATATTGTAATTTTGTATAGATATAGATGCATGTAGAAAGTACAATTCATATATTTTCTGTACAGTTCGAATAATACAAATATGAAAAATGCAATTATTGAACACTGACGAAAAGTGGAGAGCAAATGAATATTAAGAGTGATAAAATTTATTTTTCTGTCATTAATAGTATCTGTTAACACTATATTTATTTTGAAAGAATAATTCTACTTGGGAGAATTTGGGGACATAAAGCAAGTTTTAAAATGTTTTTTTTACTGGAAAACATTGCAAAAAATTAAAAAATTGTTCAGCTACAACATGTTTTGCCAAAATCATTTTTCTCTTCTTATTATTTTTAAGTATGGTGCTAATACAGGATTGTGATTAATCAGCAGCTAAATAGAGGAAGAGAGAGAGAGAGAAAAAAAAAATGCTGCACTTTTGGTCAGTATGTGTCTTATTTGGCAGTTAATATTAAATAAAAGTTGCCTCTTTTTTGCATATTTAATGAACATATAATATAGTAAATGCACTATCCTGTGCAGAAGATTAACTTACATGTACAATAGAGTTATCCCAATATTGCAATTGTCCTTTCTGCATACTATATGTACATGTAATATAAATCTGTTTTTTAAAAACAATAACGTTTTACACAAAAATTGAATGTAACTTTTTTTCATATGGAATTCATATTAGAATTCAATTTTTCTTGTTTGTGTGTTAAATACTAAAAGCTTAATCTAATACATGTAGCAATGCCGGAAGATAAAAAAGTCTGTATATCCCTGATTAATCAAGTATTCTCAAAAACCAAGTCAAACATCCCTTGAAAATCATCATCTAAAGCCGCATAATCTGAAAATCAAATTTGTACTTCAGGCATTCCATATCTAGGCCAAGAAAAAGGTACAATAATGAGTCGAAAAAAGGCGCGATAGAGAGCGAGCTAGTGTTGTGACGTTCTTGCTAAGCATCAATAAATGCTCAGTGCTCTCAGGCATGCACAGAATTTGGCTGCCATCTCAAGAGCACTTGGAAAGCAACTTCCCGTGAAACCCGGAGATCATTTAAAATGCAATCATCTTAAAATTGCATTTTTTAAAGAATTATAATCCGCGAGGAATTTTAATATCATCAAACTGGTATTATCAAGGGGCCCCCCGAAGGGGCAGGCGACTATTTAGTGACTTTTTCGGCACGGTGTAATCTATATGTGCAATCCGGGGTAGAGGGTATACACTCTGAACTGCTGCAACTTAATTACGCTAGCATGCATACACAATAATTTCAATCACGTTATTTTTGTCACTGGATCACCACGGGGGAATTGCGGCGGCATAGATTTTTCCAGGACCAGGCGTATTTCAAATGATCTTTACACTTACATGGTCACAAATTCTCTTGTAATTCTCTGGCGTGCGTGCCTGACATTCGCCAAAATTTACTCCCTCAATTTGTGCCTTGTTGAAATAAAGTGCTCCCCGGAATGTGAGGGCACAAGAGAGCATAGGAAGAAATAAAAAATAAAATGGAGATGGAATTTGAAGTATTCCAGGCATTGGAGAATAGTTTCTGAAAAGGTTTCTCTTTAGGTAGCTCAGATTTTCCATCTCATTTCTCCAATATATCCATAACTCTTTACTCAATACAAAAAACTAGGCAACTCTAACCAGAAATATGGCCAACAACCAGGCTTTACGTCTTTCAATTTCCGTGGTGCTATCAGGCTGGAATGACTGAAATAGCTTAAATGCCTGGCATTCTTTCGGGGGGAAAATATCAGATTTAGGGCTCAATCAGGGGGTTCGCAGTTGACGATGTAGTACTGATTTATCAGGAAAATAACCCCAAAGCAAATTCTCTTGCGGGTTGGAGTTTAAAAACCCTCACTGGAGCTCTAGCTAATCAGTGATGAAAGTACACTTTACACTGCCCCGCCTGCTGTGCATTCACGGGCTATCGGTGGGATGATACATTTTCATGGTACTTGTATTCCAAGTTCATTGTACATGTAGGTATTTGAGCATGAGGATGAATCGTTCTAATTCATTTTCTTTTTCCAATACTATTTCTGAAGTTAACCCTCAACTATCTCTGATGTTATAGCATCCATCCATTGTGAAATGCAACCCTATTTGGAAGGCAAAGACAGATCACACACATTAAGAGCCCATTGATGGAATTTGCCATTCATTCACACTCAACTTGGTCATGTTTCAAATTATCGTGGATCAATGCAACTCAAAACCCCATTTCACATCAGCCCTCTAATGCATGGAGGGTGCATTTGCACGCCACTTCACAGAACGGCTCCAGCTTCACTAGAGCATAAACCATCATCCGATGACTTCCACACTGGAAACCACACACAATCCTCTCCATCCCCGACCCCCTTGAAAAAAAAAATCCTCCCCCTGATCTATATCTCCCTGCACCGTGCTAATATCGAATTGGTTTGTATCAAATTCCAAATTTGGCGAGCGCCGGTTTTAGCGCTGGTGTTAATAGTGAGAGCAGGGGGATACTAGCTGGCTGGGCTTGTTTGCGTTGGGTATTACTCCGTACTGGCCGTGGGTAAAGGTCAGGGAGAGAGGCCAGGTGAGAATGGCAATCGAGAACCCCTCTCAAATCAAACTTTCATGCTCTCAAAATGAGTTAAAGAGACACTACACCTGTCAGCAGGGATGGGTCAGTACGGTCACTCACAGATTATTACTATTATTTAAGCCAAGAAACATGCATTCTGAAAAGAAATTAATAGAAAAAATAGTATTACAACAACAAAAGAGAAAGATAGAGAAATAGAAAAGGCAAATAAAAGTAAGGAATAATGAATTAATCAAAGTAAAGAATGAAAAGGAATTTGAAAGTCTTTATTACTCTCAAAATGAGGTTTTTTTTTTAAATGAGGTTTTTTTTTAAAATGAGGGTT